CTCCTGTGCGACGACAGCGATGTCAAGGTCGTCAGCCAGGAGGAGTATTTTCTCCGTCACCATAGCGTCGATGCCGTCGTCATCCATACGGGGGAAGGCCGACTTGGCCATCGCCAGGAGGCTCGTTCGGTACGCCAGGGGCGACTCCTTTTCACCCCGCTTGCGGTCGTAGAACTCCTGTCTGCATTCCGCCGATGGTCCGTAGACCCCTCCCAGCAGCTGCAGCGCCATCGGTAACGTCGCCCGCCTCTCTTTAGGTGCCGATGTGAGGGCTGCGAGCGCGTCGCTGTCGAGGAGCGCCGGCAGCGCGCAGAGAGCCTCCTCGTCTGTCCACTTCGCCATCTCTTGATGGGCGAGGAATCGCCTGCGGAACCCGGCCCAGTCCCCCTCCGCGCCGACGAACTCTTTCAGCGGGGGCAGCCTCTGATGGAGTGCAGCGGTCGTTGTTGATTCCCGCGGGCGGATGTCACCTCCACTTGGCTGTGCGTTGGTACGAGCGGCCGATGGAATCGCCTGTCGCGGTGGTGATGACGTCGTGGCTTCAGCGACGGCGATGCCGGAGTGGATGTTTAGGCTGGCCACGCCCCGAACAGCTGCAGCGTCGATGGCGGGAGATTCAAACTCGGGCTGCTCCGAAATGGCGGGAAGGCGCCCTGGTCGTTGGGCCGTCTCGCCCCGTGCTGAATCACCGGCCCCCAGCCGCGTGATGGACTCTAGCGTGGCGGCAGCGGCGTATAACAGCTCCGCCAGCCTCCCGTGAGCCAGCCGCAACGCGTCTGACTGTGATCCTCCTTCACTCGGATGCCCCGGTGAGGAGACATCAGGCTCCGGCTGCACTGTGGCTTGTGTAGCCGTCCCGGGCGTTTCGATCTCGGCCGTATCTTCTTCTTGCGGTACTATGGCCCGCGTTGTCTTCCGCGTGTCCATGTTCGAGTTTTACTTCTGACACCAGTTGAAGTACCGGTGAAGACACTTGACGCCGAGGTGGAGGCACACGGATATTTATTCAACACAACTCGTATGTGACATACAGTACTGGAGGGGGTATCGGCCCCCTCACCCGACTAGCTCAAGGATACACTTCCTGGCTAAGTCCTAGCCTACCTCACAGTCCTCCACTACTGGGCTAGGGGAGGCTACTTGGCCCGACACTGGTAAGTCGGGCCGGTACCCGGAGTCCCAGACCAGCTCTTAGAAGAGCACCGGCTCTGGCTTTCGGGACCACGCCGCTGGCTCGATCCTGTTCGGCCCTGACAAGGACATCGAACGAGGGAGTCCAGGGCTCTATCTAAGACGTCTTCCGTCTTCTTAGTTAACTATAACATAACTAACTCCCGAGCCCATATAACGTCCCCTTTTATACCCAACCCTCCCTGAGGGGTGGGGCCCCGGGGGATCATAACGCCAAACCAGCCCCCCCCAGGGTGTCTGGCTCGGACGTCGCAGAGGGCACCTCCCTGTGCACACACGTAGCCCCGCCCACTGTGTTTCTTTCCCATAGACTGCCATACATAACGGCCCTCTCTCTAACATCCCTACACATGTGTAATGACATGATGACACCTGCTGGCTTGGAAAGGGAAGCACGGGTACGGGCACCGCTAAGACAACATCCAATCTGAAAGGGAGAGGTATCTGGGGCAAAGGTAATAGGCGGGATTAGCCGAGATGAACTTCGGGAACCTCATCGATTGTTTCACGAGAGGGTGTGGCCGGAGGCGGAGCCTAGCTGCGCCTAGGGAGATATAAGCGGGGGCGGACCAGGGCTCGAGGTTCGTGTGTGGATTCTTGGACTGCGTTGCTGCTCGCCGTCATCTCTCTCCGTCGTCCGGCCACGTGGAAGATCTCCTGCGGGACTTTCATAGCCGTCATCGTCACGCCGCCAGCCAGCGGCATAGCCGAGTGAGGGCGGTGGGACCACGCCGAGTGATCGGCCTTGTGTGTAGCCAGTAGAGACGGAAATATCTAAGTGTTGTACTCAAAGTGAGAAGGATAAGTCTTCAATGATTGCAATGGTGTCAGGCACAGGTACCTTAGTGAACAGAGAGACTACATCGAAACTGACAAGCAAATCATCTGGAGATGGTGAGATGTCCTTGATTAGAGAAACCAGGTGAGCTGAGTTAAGTACAGCTGAGGTGGTCTTGCCCGTGAATGGGAGCAGAGTCTCAGACAGAAATCGGGCCAGTTTGTAGGTGAGTGAGTTAATGGTGAATACGATAGGACGGAGTGGAGTACCTTCTTTATGGATTTTTGGAAGGCCATGAAACCTGGGTGGTCTAGCAGCCGAAGGTTTTAGAGAGAGCTGCTTGGTCGAAGGACGTTATTAACCAGGTAAAGTCTTAACTGGCTGTGATGTTTCCTTCCGATCTGCCGAGTTTTAATAGTTATTTCCGACTCTCTGAGTTGCATTGCCAGGTTGGATGTCTTTACATTAGCGTGTTGGATGTCTCACCGGCAATGCCGCCGCTGCTCCTTTCCCTCGATGTGGCGGTGACGCTCGTGTTGTGACGGACTGTGACTTGCTGTGGTGTTTCTGTGTGTGTGTCTCTCACGATCACTTGTGTTGCGGTCGGTGCAATTCTCTCGCCTCCGTGCTTTTATGCGGGTCTCTGACCCCCACCCTCTTGCCTGGTGCGGCGGCCCTCCCCCTCCCGGGTCTATATAACAGCGTGTCTCGCAGTCGGTTTTATCTCTCACCTGAAGACGGTCGCTTGCGTTGCGATCGAAACGTCGTGATCTATTATTTTGTCTACCTACGTGATTTTACCGAAAGAACCAAAGAGTATGGTTATTATTTTATTGTAAATAGCATTTTGTTTCATTGTCATTGTGTTATATGTTTCTGTACGCTTTATGACGTTGATAATTTGCTGTCATTCCGTAACGTGCGGCGAGGAGGGGGTTATATGTGTGGTACAGATATAATAACATAAGGTCTGTCCAGGTCTACACCGGGCATAACATATTTATGCTACCCCTGGCTAATCGCTGTGGCTACGCAGCATCACGTACCTATTCGCCAGTCTGTCACCGACCAGGAAAATATTCAGTGAGAATCTGAGCCCCAAGAAGACATTAATTATATTATTATAGCCAACAGCGTTGGCTGCACCTCGCTCTGATGTAACATTCCTCGCAACCCGACTGAAATCAAAGTACAACTTGAGCCCACAATGACGTTTGAGATAAACCAGTGTGAGATGTTCCACAGAACTTGCGTTAGTTAAACACAAATTGATTACAATCTAAATGATGAAAAAAAATAAAGGTCAAAATGCAACTGTCGTTTCGTCTCATTAAATATACTCAAACTATATTATTACAAGATATTTTTCTTTTGTAGAATGTCTAAAAATGCATTTGTCTATATTTCTTAAACTGCACTCGGAGGATAAACTTTCAAGACGATTTCCATGATGGCGGAATCAGATATTTATTTATAGTGGAGGAATCCGATGAGCTATAAAGCTCTTTGTCATAGATGTCCAGTAGAGGCGGGTCAGAATGTCCCAACAACAAACAGTACAAAAACATGACAGGAGTGCAAAGTACAAGAAAGGTAAACAAATCACCAAACGCATACAAATACAACTAAACATCCACATCCTACCAGTCAAAGCCTACTGAGGTATTAACTTATTTTTCAAAAGCGACCTGGCCATCAGAGGCGTAGCTAGGGGGGGGCAGGGGGTACATATGTCCCCGGGCGCCAAGGTAAAGGGGCGACAAAATGAGGCTTACAACGTTACATTATAACTTATTGCGGCGGGCGCGGCAGCCTGAAACTACTGCACAAATCTACACCTCAACCTAAAAGTTTATATATCCCGCCACACACAGCCTACATGTCATGTAATTACATTTTGGTATGTGATTAAACGGGGGGGGGGGGGCGCCAATTTTATAGTTCGTCCCCGGGCGCAAAATATCCGAGCTACGCCACTGCTGGCCATAAATTATAGCTCAACAAAATGGCCCATCATTTGGACATTTATATCACCAAAATAATCTGAATAATTTCAATGCATGTTTCTACATGTGCATTAAGTGGGTCAGACCAGCAAAAGATAAAGGAATGATGGACTTGTTTATGCAGCATGTTATCAGTGAGTCAATTTGTCATTGTGTCAGTTGATCCATTTGGCACACAATAACAATGGTGAACGGGGACTGGGAATATCTGGACCCTTCCTTACTGTCAATCCGTTGCTGCTTTAAATTTTGTGGAAAATAATTGGTTAAAGGTCATATGGCTGGATGGCTAAGAGGTCAGAGCACTAAGCAACTCTGTTCAAATGGAGGTTTTGGCCACCGATGATTACGTATGCATGTATGTTGAACTTGTTTCGCACCGTACGAAGTCAACCGTGCTAATCAGAGGTGCGGTGGAAGGACAACAAACTAAACAAGAAAATTAAATGAGGTTCTTGAGTGTAATGAGTTCAACGGTTTCAGTCTGGTCAACCATGAGTGGAAAAAATGGCAAATCTGGTGTTTCACTTAATTTGGCAAATATTCTAGACCTGAGAATAATATAATTGACTTTCATTCGATTATTATGCTGTATCTCTGACGTTGTACACATGGAAAAGTGCGCTTCCCCCTGATGTCAATAAGAGTTCACTTGAAGTGATCTCAGATCTGTGATATCTGCTTCAGTGGACCATTCGCGAACATGTGGCGATGTACTGCTCTGTGAGAACTCCGAATGGACACTTTATCTCATGACATGATCGAACTAGAAAAAGTTAACACATAGTAAAATATATTTGATAAAGATATTCCTACTGGTTAAGCTACACATCACGTAGGGACCATACATTCTGGTGCAGGAGACGTTGAACGTTGATCTTACCGTATATTCTTGGTTCTTTCGGTAAAGTCACGTAGAATGGAAATAAAAATAATAATACAAATAATACAAATAAAACATAATAAAATAAAGAACCAAGAATATGAATCCCTGCAGTCACGAAAGCTTTAAATCGAAATCTTACCGTATGTTCAACATCAAAAGCCAGGATTTTGAATTCTGTCGAGGTCGGGTCATGCAACCGTGGGCTGTACGAGGCTCCTCCCACGATCTTCATCTTTCCGGAAATTTCATTTGTTTCTAAGTTGACCAAGACACAATTCTCATAAGCACCAAACTTGAGCAGTCGAGCATAAGGATACAAGTGCTGCCTGATCTTTATTTGGGTCACGTATAAATTATTACAAATTTAACCTGGATGAAAACACCTGCCGGGTGTGATACAAGACTGTGAACAACATCACACCCCAAAACAGTGTCATGTCTTCAAGGACATATTTACACAAAGTTACTTTATGGCACTGCATGCGACTTGTTTACAAGAAGGCTGGCTATTATTGACATGGAATTAAATATAACCATAACACAATCAATGTACATACAAGCACAACACAATGTTGAGAAACTGCTGATGGTTTATTGCATAATGCTCGGAGTCCGAGTGCTTTTAACATGTATCTGTGCGTAGTTTGATACCTATGACTTTCCTTCCTGCATTATTTTCCTGTTATGATGGGATTTTCTTGTCATTTACAGATTTGACAATGTATGTATGTATGTTTAATTCCTTTCGCACCGTGCATAGCTAACCTAGCTAATCGGAGGTGCGCGCGGGAAGGACAACAAACTAAGCATAAAAAGCAGTTCTAAAGAAATTACATTTCAATCTAGATCTAAAAGTGCACAGCTCATATCGGAAGAGAGTTCCAGACGGCCGCAGAAGCGCATCCGATGTACAGCTTAGGTTAAGCTTAGATCTGCCAATAACATGAGGGCTCACTGGTCTCGGATGCCACACATACATTTACTTACTCGTACAACTCTGCGAACAGTATAATATTTACTTGATGGTATTTGATTTTCAAAGAAAAAGGTTGCAGACCGACAACATTTACAACATTTACTCTACAACATTTACTTTAAAATGATGAGTGGCAGGCCTTCGTCAAGGTTAAGTGGCAAAATGTGATGGCAATGGTGGAGGCAAAGAAGAGAACGTGCCCGAGAGGACAACTACCACCAGCGTGGTGGAGCGATGAGATTAGCTCACGTGCAGGAGACAGATCGACTGTGGTGTCGTGAGACCACGAGGGATTGCAACTAGTTCAAGTTCAAGTTCATTTATTAGGTATAGCCCTGTGAGCCATTCAGCTCTTGAATCGGGTGCAACCGCAACAAACAAAAAACAAAAAACATGAACAAAAAACATCTTAAAGTGAATATGTGACTAAGTGCAAACAGAAAATCCAAGAAAAGACAGCAAAAATATTGCAGAAACTAACGTGGGGAGAGAAGACCTTGATCCAAACAGTGGCTAGATCGTGGCTGGTGGCAGTGCATCAGAGAGAGAGCATGACTTCTGCAACGGGCTGTGGATTTTTAATGTTTACCTAAACATCAAGTGGAAACAAGGGTGCCAACAATACGAGACACACGTCGTTGGAGTGCGGGGGAAATCACACACGTTTAAGTTGCGGCCAGGAACATGTTTACGATAAAGTGTAAAATGTAAATGGATTATCGTCCGGAACTATACACTGGTTATTAAACTGCCGTGTAGGGAGTCTAGAAGATACAACTACAGTAACGTCAGTTTGTCTTTAAAATATTAGGACACTCGATACGTTTTACAGGCAAAACGTAATGTATATTCTTACATCAACTATTCACACTTTCCCCTATTTAAAATTTGTTCCACTGTACATACATATTAACAAAATGATAGATGTTAAAATGTTAACAAAAGTAGCGAGTTGTGTATCCTATTGTATTTGCAAATGATATAGCGTTGTTTGGTAGAACATGTGAAAGAATAGGAACAATGGTTGTCTTGTGCTGGGCTTAATCAGTTACAGCCCCGATCTGCCAGACTACTTCCTTGTGTGCAAATGAGCTTTCCATCGTTGCACCATAAATAATTTAATAGTGTAATTTGCTTTGTTTCTTAACAGACATAATTATTCCTTTTTATGCAGTGTCATTGAGGAGCGAGTTGAGTATTTATTTGTGCACCACTGACCAACGCAGTGTCTAAATTGAACACGATATTCACAAAGAGGGGTAACTTTATTTACATCCACGAAGCACGTGTAGGGAAACAATCGAATATCTTGGCGAACGATCCGTACAGACCGGGAAAACACATCGTGAAAATAGCTTAAACCCAACCCCTGTTTTCGTACCAAATCCTTTCAACTCACCGTCCTTGGCGGACAGCTGGGAGTTGTCATCGATGGCCAGCCAGGCCACTGCGATGAGACCGGCGCACACCACCGTGCCCAGGGCACAGAAGACTATCAGCGTGACCTCGAGGCTGGTCCACCTCGACGATCGCTTCCCCTTCACCTCCTCCATGCCCTCTCTGCTGCGCGTTATGCTTTGAATGGGATAGCTACAGCTGAAGTGTGGCCCCAATGTGGCCACAGCACCTCTAATTGTGCGGTGCACAGGCGTACTGGGGGTGGGTACACCGCTCTAAAATAGTTATACTTTGCATATTACGCATTTGGAGACTTTGGCCGTGATTAATTTGTTTGTGGAACTACGCGTTATCTTTATTGCTTAGTCAATCTGAAATGGGCGATTTTGCAAGCAATCCAATACTTGCCCGGTGCGAGTTGAATTTTCACCGCACTTCAGCACCCACGCCTCACATCTCTGCTGACATCATCACCCATTATCTTCGTACTTGAAGCTGAAGCAGACGACAAACCTCGACAATAAAAGACGAACCACACGAGGATTATTTTAGTGTTCATGACGTTTCACATTTTAGTATTTTGCATTTGTTGCTGAGGTTTTATATTTGTTTTACTTTCATGAACTAAGTCTTCCTTGAAAAATAGACTTTTAGACTTGTTGGGCTCTTAACTGGTCATGACTAAAGATGCAGTCTTTCTACAAAAATCCTGGATTATAGACCAGTACAGTAGGTAGATCAGTAGTCTTCGAATTCGTCAATCTGAGGATTAACTCAGCCCGTTATCTTAATCTTTGGGGAAGTAAAATAGGTACCACTTAGCAAGAAGTCATCAATTGTTGGAGTATAAATAGACTGGTCCATGTCATAGACACATGGAATTTCCAATAATCTGTCAAGACCATCGAAGAAGACCAGCATCATCCAAAGCTCTTTTTGAATACGGGACAATTTCACTTTTGACTGCAGGAAAAGGAGGGATTTTTTTGTCACAGTGTATTATATTGTTCAGGGGCTGCGTGGGAATAGGAAGACTCATAGTAAGAACTTGATACTTTTGGGAGACCACGTTGGGTGGTCGCCGTGCCCTCAGCCTGGAGGCTGAGGGGGCTCACCAGACGGCGCCAGCCAGCGGGGTGAGGAGAGAGCAGAGTGCGCGGGGCGCACAGGGCGTGCGAGGTTGCACGGAGCAGCAGAGTAGCTGCAGAGCGGAGCAGCAGAGTAGCTGCAGAGCTAGCGGATGACTAGCAGGGGGTGCGAGGTTGCACAGGCAGCAGAGTAGCTGCAGAGCGGAGCAGCAGAGTAGCTGCAGAGCGGAGCAGCAGAGTAGCTGCAGAGTGTGCGGGGCGCAAGGAGAGACGACGCTGGACCGAGGAGGAGGCCAGCGGGGTGAGCGGAAGACGAACACAAATAAAGGACCAACGGAGATCAACATCGTGTGACGGAGTCCTTTATTACACTTTAGAACTTGATACTCTAAGGGGAGGGTGCGGCTGGGTGGGGGGGCTGGGTGGAGAGGGGCTGGTCACCCCGTGGTGCCCTTATAAAACTCAACGGCTTGTGCCCGCTCTCACAGTCGGGCATATTTGCGGAATACACCACGCCGCTGTTGACCCTGGCCATTGACCTAGCAACCCAACGTTCCTACCAGCTCCCACCGCAGGAATGTGTTTACTTTGTATGTTTAACTTGTTTCGCGCCGTGCTAATCGGAGTCACCAGTATTATTCGATTTCGCGACGCAACATTCGAAACAAGAGGGAGCTTTATTGAATGCCCCCCCCCCTGCACCCTCGCCTCCGTGCACCTAGCAGTATGAATGGGTACACCACAGTCGATGGGAAAGTTGCTCGTGGTGGGGTACGCCTACACCTTCTGAGGCGTCTGGCCAGCGTGAAAGAGTAGGCAACGTGCCTCGTGCCCTCTGACAGCAGTGGTGTGAGCAAGCCTTATGCAGGGCTCCAACTTTACCCGTTTTCTCCCTACCACTTCTCTACCACAGAGGGACACGCTACGTGCAGACAGCGCTGCTTTTTGGCGAGACAGAACAGCGTTGGATACAATGCTTCATAGGGTCTGGGCACTGAAAATGTATAAACAAACCACAGTTTGCCTCATATATAGGCTTCTGGTTGCCAAACGAACACATAAGGTCGCACTCGATACACACAAAGTGTTTGCCACAAATGACGCTAAGTCCGGTCATCCTCACAACGGAGGCTTTTGGCTGACCATCGAACAAAGACGGTCACTGCATTGCGCGCTTTCAGATGCGCTTCTGTGGCCATCTGGAACGCTCTTCCTTCCGAAATTAGGAAGCCACTGGAGCTATGCACTACTAGATTAAAAACGAATTTCTTAAGAACTGATTTTTGTGTTTAATTTGTGGTTCTTCCCCTGCACCTCCGATTAGCATGGTTGGCTACGTACGGTGCGAATGAAGTTCAACATACATACATACATGTGTAGTGCTGTACTTTTACACGGACAACTTCTTGCTTTTCTGTTGTCACTTTATTTCCACTAACGCAGCACATTCCAGCCACATTCCTCCGGCGCGTTCTCCGCTCGCTTGCTCCGCTGACTCTCCCGACTCTCCTCTCCGCTTCTCCGTCACACTCCAGCCGCTCTCTCGCGGCTTCGCCGTCTCACTCTCCTCTAGCCGCTATCATAAAAAATATGTTTCTAAACATTCATTTTTATACGTTATGTTTCGGCTTAGGTCTAATTGTCCATGGTCAACTCACGTTGGCTGTAAATGACCACGGTCCCTTACGTTATGGCAAGCTTCGGGGCCACTTCATGGAGTTGTGGAGTTCTGCCATTACTCGTAAATTTAATAAAAGCGTGTTTAAAAAAAAGTAAAAAAAAAATATTACTTATTAAATGGAGGCCACGGACTGCGCCACGGAGCTTTTAGCGGTAAACAAGGTACCGTATTTACAGGGTAATACTTCGCGCTTCATTTACCCTACCAGGTAATTCTTCCGAGCTACCTTTACCCTACCCTTTACCTTACCCCTTGGCATGTCGACACCTTTTACCCGGGCAGAGGAACTGGGGCAAGGGTCACGGTAGACCTCGTGGGGAAGCCCCTGGAACCCTGTGGTGGGTTCCAGAAGGGAGGCGGCCTAGGACGGAGCCGAGCCGCGCCGAGGGGAATAAAAGCAGCGGAGAGCGAGAGCTCCAGGCTGCCGGTTCTGGTAGGGGACTCGTCTCATCGTCGCTGTTGTCGTCACCGCCCTCATCACTGCCGCCTTCGTTGGATCATTGCGCAGCTGGACAGTAGTTGGCTGTCCTGGTCGACGCTGTCGGTGCAACGCGGACAGGGTCGTGTCTGGGACAGGTCGTGCGGCAGTGTGGTCGTGAGAGAGAGGGGGCCTGAGTGGTGTTGTGAACTCAACAACAATAAAAGGGGAGGACGGTGCCTCCTGTGACCACCTCGTGTCCGACTGATGTGTGTGCGACGCACGCCACCCGCACGCACACACACAAGCCTCGAGCAAAATAACGAAGAGACGCACTACACTAGTAACGAATTGGCACGTTCTATTTACGTGACAAACCTTACTAATTGGGGTGTTGGCGGGTTTGACACTTTTATATTTAACCCTAAAACCCCCTGTATTATGGATATTGGGCGCGAAAACTGACGCTTCTCAGTCGACGATATATCTCACAACTTTTTGTTTTGTTTTTTATCCTACCAACAACAATGTTTTGTCAAAGCGACATTCCGGGAAATAGGCCAAAATCATGTTTTTAAATCCTTTATATTAAGTTCGCTTGCTTGCTTGCTTGCGTGCTTGCGTGCTTGCTTGCTTGCTTACGACCGTGCAAATCTTTCGGTAGTTTTTTAACCCACTTCCCGTGATCCAATCGAGCTGACATTTTTCACACAGACTCGTTGTGCGTGACAATTAATTTTCGTGAAATTTTTTTCCCAAAATGTTACACTGTTTAGGGGGAAAAAACATTTAATTACCAATTGCTTAATGCTGGCAGACAATCATCTGACCCATAGGTGGCAGCCATCTCAAGCCAGAGGACGAGAGGACTCTAGCCGCCACGCATATAAAGGATTTAGAGTGAAAAACTTTGTTTTTACGGGTTAATTTTTTGTCTATTTGTTTGTGTTTCACCCTTGCGATGGGACCTTGTAGGATGAACGTTGAGATTTATAAGGGCACGGGGTGACAAATAAGGTCCTGAATTGGTCTGAAATAAGGTGGCGCAATTGATTAGGGGTTGACAGGTCTGTTGGTTTCCAAACCTTCCTGGACCTGCGGATCACTGGTCAACCATCAACAACGCAATAACACTGGTCAACAAAAAAAACCCATTTTTTTCTGGCCTGGACTTTTGCAGCTGTTTTAGACTAATTTCAGGGTGCTGATTCCAAATCTGATCTCAGATTTGCTCTATCACATCTCATTTTTATGCTATCGGCATACCCCATTTTCATTGATTTTACCCGAAATTAACTCTGCCACTTATGATTGCAAGTTGTTGCGAGTCAGTGACTGCTTTAGTGTTAAAATATGGTGCTGTATTTTTAGGATAGTGTGTTTATAATACCATTTTATGTAGATATCCACATTTATTTAATATTTTTCTTCTGCAGTTTTTTTAATTGAAAATGCAATATTGGATATCTCAAAAACCTGATGTGATAGACAAAGACTGATGCCAGATTTGGAATCAGCACCCCAAATTTACGTTAAACCCGTTGGAATACCTTATGCCAGAAAAAGTGTGTTGACCAGTGTAATCCTACCACCATACTGTAACATACTGTACAAGAGGCCACTGGAGCTATACACTTTTAAATCTAAACTGAAAGCCCGTGACTTTAGAACTGTTTTGTGCGTGTGTTTAATTTGTTGTCCTTTCCCCGCACCTCCCATTACCGAGGTCGGCCACGTACGGTGCGAAAGAAGTCCACACGCACGTGCAGCACGAATCGAATACAAAGCGCGAAAAAAACCGCGTTTCGTCGTCTCGGCACCCGTAGTTGCGCGGTGCATGATGGGACCACCTGAGCTTTGGCGGGAAAATGGAGGCGGGCGTTAAGCTGCGGTGAAGGCGGCGAGTCTCAGTGAGTCTGAATCAGTCCCTTGAGTCTCTCAGTGAGTCTCTGTGAGTCTGAGTGAGTGAGTCAGTCCCTCGAGTCTCTCAGTGAGTCTCTGTGAGTGAGTCTCTGTGAGTGAGTCTCAGAGTGAGTGAGTCTCTGTGAGTCTCAGAGTGAGTGAGTCTCTGTGAGTGAGTCTCAGAGTGAGTGAGTCTCTGAGTGAGTCTGAGTCAGTCCCTTGAGTCTCTGTGAGTGAGTCTCTGTGAGAGAGTCTCAGAGTGAGTGAGTCTCAGTGAGTGAGTCTGAGTGAGTGAGTGAGTGTGAGTGAGTGAGTCTGTGTGAGTCTCTGAGTGAGTGAGTCTCAGTGAGTGAGTGTGAGTGAGTGAGTCTGTGTGAGTCTCTGAGTGAGTGAGTCTCAGTGAGTGAATCTGAGTGAGTGAGTGTGAGTGAGTGAGTCTGTGCGAGTCTCTGAGTGAGTGAGTCTCAGTGAGTGAATCTGAGTGAGTGAGTGTGAGTGAGTGAGTCTGTGCGAGTCTCTGAGTGAGTGAGTCTCTGAGTGAGTCTCAGTGAGTGAGTCTCGGTGAGTGTGAGTCTCGGTGAGTGAGTCTCTGTGAGTGAGTCTCGGTGAGTGAGTCTGTGTGAGTCTCAGTGAGTGAGTCTGAGTGAGTGAGTCTGAGTGAGTCTCAGTGAGTGAGTCTCTGTGAGTGAGTCTCAGTGAGTGAGTCCCGGTGAGTCCCGGTGAGTCTCGGTGAGTCTCGGCGAGTGAGTTTGAGTGAGTTCCACCGAGTCCCCCGAGTGTCCCCTACGAGTCTCCCTGAGATCGCGAGCCTCCCCCTCCTCACGAATCATTCCCAGTGTCCCCGAGTCCCCAAGCGCCCTCACGAATAGCGCGAAGTGTCCCTTTGAATAACCTGCCAGAGTCCATGAGTCTATCGATGTCTCTCCGAGCACCGCGAGTTTTTCCGTGAATCTCTTCCCCCGAATTCAATGCCAGTTCACTTGTGTCTCCCCTGAGTAGCACGGGCGTCCTTAAGTCGCCGTGAGTTTCCCGATTCTCTTTCTGCCTGGGTAACGCGAAGTCCCCATGCGAATCTCCCCGAGTCTACCCCACGCTTTGTACCCAAAGACTTCAGAAACCGTGTCTCTTCCTCGAGCACTTGACACGCCGGTCAGTTAGAGCGGGCAACATTGACGTGGGAATTTTGAAGGATAGTACAACACGCGGCAAATTGCTGGACTGTTCACTATATCCCACAACGTAGAAGCACTGCTCTGTAAGATGCCTGTGACAACCTTGCGTGCATGGCGGTCACCCATCCAAAAACACCAGCCAGGTTAAAACCGTACTTATATTCTGAGATCTGATAAGAGCGAGCTGATAATCTTCATTCACCACAATTGGAAAACAAAAGAAAACCCCATTTCTTTTCGAATCACGATCTGCAATCGCATCTTGGTCAGAGGGGGGAGCACATTGTTGCACGTCTAGTGATTGAGCATCCAGGACGCTGGTTGATAACCGTGTTGTGTTTGTTGCTTCACTTGTAATGGGTGTGATCGCATCGCCGGCGTGTCCGTGCGCTGTAGATGCTTGTGCACCGGAAGAAGCGGCATGGCGAAGCCGAAGAGGTACACTCCCCTGCAGGGCAAGCGGTTTTACCTGGACGTGCAGAACCAGCGGCAGGCGACTCAGCTGGAGAGAGAACTGCAGCAGCTCGGAGGGGTAAGGATACACGCCGAGTGTGTATGTGTGTTGAACGTCTTTCGCACCGTGCGTAGCCAAGCGTGCTAATCGGAGGTGCGGGGGAAAGACAACATACTAAACGCAAAAAACTGTTCTAAAGTATGTAGGCGAAGCGAAGGCTTTTTTCGGTATCACCCAGTTGAATGTATGGATGTTTATTATCCGTCCCCGCACCTCCGATCACCACGGTTGGCTACGTACGGTGCGAAAGAAGTTCAACATACACATGTATATACGCCAGCCCCTTGGCAAATATCCAGCTGGATAAGTAAGTGCCTTTGCACGCCATGCAGGTCCTGGGGTGTTTTTGACCACGTGTTATGCCACCTTCACCAACCCACACTGGGTTGGTGAAGGTGGAAGAGCGGGCACATTGAGTGATTTGGTTAGCAGCTGCCTCTGAATTAGTTGTGTTCGTGACTCGCTGCACAGATGTTGTGCTCGTTATAAATGGGACTTAGAGGCGTGAGCATATAACGATGCATTCGTTGTTTTATTTCCTTGTTCATCCAGGTAATGTCCCATGGAAACTCGAAGCATCTTTTGCAAGGTGAACGTGGCTAAACTGTGCAGTTTATTGAGTTATATTTAATAATTTGCTTTTGCATTAAATATTGATAGGTGTTCATGTAGCCAAGGTGAGAACAGATGATAGTTTGCTCTGTAGAGATGTTTCACTTTATTTGTCCCCCACATGTGATGGACAAACTGCTGAAGCTGCAAACCCAATGGTTTAAAAAAAGTGCAGTTTTGTGATATGACTCAGTAGGATAAACAAGTGTGAGAATGCATGTTAATGTGACACCTTGAAATGTAGACATATTTCGATAATTTATAAATCCAAATTGTTCTGCCCTCGCTGATGGTTGCCTGAGGTCACAGATGACCGTGACTGAATAGAGTGCCTATGTCTCATGACACTTATAACTTCTGCAGACTGTGGAGAGGTTTCTGAGTCGGGACGTCAACTACTTGATCACCAGCCGCAGGGAGGTTGCGACAGACAGCAGTGGTCGACCTGCTGCTGTTGCTGCTGTTACTGCTGCTGCGCCACTCGGAGGGCCACTTACTCCCTCCAGCACAAGCTCCACGCTTGGCCTGGGAAAGACCGGCAGTGCTGCCGCGAGCTTGGCAGTCACTGTGACAACGCCGGTCACATCTGGTGGCCCGACAGCTATAATCGGCGCGCTCAATGACGAGAGGCCTACCTCCAGCTCCACGATGCAGAGGACTCATTCGGCGCAGGCTCGGACCACTAAACATTGCGCTTTCATCGAGCGGCCCATGAAGGAAGCGCCTGAAACCGGCGCCGTTGCGGGAAGCAAGCAGCGGCAGTGCGCCGGAGTGCTGAATCGCTTTGTTGCAGCCGTGAAGTTTGGTGGGAAGTCTCAGCCTGCACCACAGCTCAGGAACGGGTGTCGGACAGGCGTCGAGGGCAGTGATGCGAAACCATCAGTCACGGCCTCACAGCAGCAGCAACAATACAAACAGCAGCTGGTGCTGCAACAGCAGAAAAAGCTTCATCTACCGTCACTGCTCGTGAGTGCAGTGCACATCCACAAGTACATAATTAGTGAGGACGGTGAATGGTTCAGATGGGTCTCTGGGAGGGTTTAATTGGTTGTCAAAAATAGCACAAAATTCCTTAGCACTTCAACTACAATAAAAAAAAGTTAACTTTTAAGACAATAAATGCATCACCTATTAATATATATATATTTTGTCTGGCGTTTATATGTTTGTTATAAGAAAATTACCAATAGAGATGTTGGTTTTAGTTAAACAGCTGGATATCTCCAACTACATGGACAATTTGAAAAATGTATGTATTTTGAAGTATCCTGCTTGTCCCTTGCAGGTAAGCCGTGGAAAGAAGTTGGTGCAGAAAGCCATGAAGAGACAGGTTTGTGCTGCCTCGTGAATGCACAAATTAGATTTTAATGAACCCCCCTGTGCTTGCATCTCATTCGTGGCTAAGTGAAATTAAGCACCACTAAATAGTTATTTTTCATTTCCTAAGAACTTGTGTAAATGATTAAAATACATATTTAATTTATTGGGCTATGTGTCTTAATGCTTGAAGATATACATTGTTTAAGCATCACAACATTGAATTGGTTTTGCCTCAACCTAGTTTACCTCATTAGCCAGTGCCTCTGGGTATTCTGATATTATGGCAGAAGTAGCCACCAATGTACAGTCTGGTCCCAGTAGTTGAGGTTTCAAAGTAAATGCTCTTTCTTGCTGCTTAAGAAATGTGTTGTAAGAATAATACATAGCATTAAATCAACCTCTAATTTGAACTGGATGAACTTTCTGAATCAGCAAAACGAGATTTTGTTTTATAACACTTACACGTAGGTGTAAGCCATGATCGTGGTGGCTCCTAAGCCTTTGTGATTGCTGTGGCGATACGCTTTCCCCTGCATGTCTGTGTGGCACGCTCTGTTTGTGCGCATGCTCAGGAAAATGTAGGCGCCGACATGCTTGCCAATGCTCGCTCCTGGGGTGTGAAGATTATACACATGGATGGTATCCGTTTTGCTGCCCTGTGCCATTGAAAAACTAAACCAACCACAATATCAGGTGAATTACTAGCATCTTGGGGAAAGTGTTCAAGAGAATTGTGATGGGACAAATTTTGAAATAGATTTTCCAAAAAATTACACCGTTTTGCCAAGAGTGTTATATTTGTAAGTAAAAAATGTCAATGTAACATAATTGGCAATAATCACGAATAATGTTTATTTAATTTTGTTTGAAATAGAAAATTTTAACATCAAATGTTCAACAAAAAACATAAAAGAAACGATGAACAGAAATGTAAAAAAAAAATCCAACTTGATGCAAAAGCAGGCCAACTTTTCTTGCTGGGGTAAGATAATGGGGTTTCATCCCTAGTGTCGGTGTACACGTGGTGACACTTGTGAGTCCTTAATGCATCGCACCCAGCTGCCTTCAAGTACCTGGAGAAGAAGAGATGCGAGGCTGGGAACCCCCCACCTCCAGGGCCCCATGTCCAGGTGAGCTGTTTCTCCGGCATGTAAAACATCACCATGTCTACAAATACGGTTTCTCTATTTCCATTTAGGACAGAGGTGGGGTACCGTTTCTTTATTGAGTGCCGAATAAGACTTAAAATATATTTTTGGGGGGGCATACATTGACATACCTCTGTCACTGAACGGAGCCCTTGCAGTGACAGAAGTTACTTGTGACTTATCGTACTAAAATGAGAAAGGGTTGCCAAGTCAAAAATATTCCCCCCCAATGCCAATTAATTTCGGCACAATGCTTGCAGGGAGGGACAGATATTGTTTGCGAGCAGTTTCAAAGTACTAGGTTCTCCCAGCTGCGGGCTTTATAGGTTCATAATCCTGGATGTAGGTGTTTACCTGCAGGGTTTCTCTATCTCCGTATAGGGTATCTGAAGTCTTTAAGGCTCAGAGGTAACCCTGTAAATAGACTTCTGTTAACAGGCATGGGCCACCCACTTGTGAGATCAAGTCATTTTTTTCCGTTCTCCAAAATGTGTACATTTCTTGAGCTTGATGTTTTTGGAATATTTTATGGGACAAATGTATCCAGATGTTGAGACAGATGTGGAGACAGACGTATGAAGGGGAAAAATCGTCTCCTTCATATGTCTGGCTCTTCAGGTGTGCACTTTTTAGAAATAAAATCATTTTAAATAGATGGGCCCTGCCATGGACAGAAATTAAATATACATATTTAGTACATGACATGTAACCATGATTACGACTAGTCATTTAACACAATACAGTTAGTACATGTTCTCATAAAAGTAGAGTTATTTTATAATTCGTAATTTAAAACATTGATATTTATATATGTAAAAAAACTTATGTCGTTGTAAGATTTTTATCCTAAAATATTTAATTCTCCAGTTCTAACATCAATAATTCTTTCACTTATGAAGTCGCCTATCTTAACTCTGTTGTCCGTATATTGTTTTTACACAGCCTGCACCTCAGCCTGGCAGTGCCACACACAAGCACATTAGCAGTGAGTGGAACACACCCATATTGCACGCATGCAGTGAAACCACTCGCATGCCCTCATGTCTCCCGCATAACCTTATCGGTGGGCTTCACATAGCCGTTGCTGACTTGTGCACTCTACTTAGCCATGCTGTTTACCACAATCCTTGTGATCAGTGATGCCAGCCAGCACGCTTTGAAAGAGTTCCACCTGACCTAGTGGGTATACTTTTAACAAAATATAACCTCACTCAGGCAAAGTGAATGTGGAAGTAATTTAGTTGGCTCTAAAGTCAGAAAAGAAAATAAGTGCTGGTCACTACCAACACAATCTGTCCGCTACTACCTACCCATTCATGTACAGCTGCAGCAGTTATTCTTACGTTTTGCTGGTGTGTGTTCGTCTATGTGTTTGTTGAGCTTTATTCGAGGTTTGTGTGTGTGTGCCAAACAGGTATTAAACTGCAAAAGCAATTCATCAAGGTGGAAGACTGCAGTCAGTGAGTTGTTCACTTTGGGGCATTGCATTAATTTATTCACACTTTCAGAAAGAACATCTTGAATTGCATTTATTCCAGAAATGTTGGTGAAACAGTGTCACAGTGCTAGGTGCACTGTGCTTTTAATCTGATGACTCGAGCTAAATTGTTGGTCATGGATAACGTTATTAGCAAGTGAAAACTGAACCGGTCCTGGGTACCCCCTTTACTCAGTTTGACAGCAGTGTGCAGTGTATGTCTATTGAAATTCTGAAAATCATCCTCGGTAAAAAGCATCCAGATTATTTCACGTACGTTTACATATGCCAGGGGGTAGAGAACTTGTACCCTATCGAGAACCTAATAGGACTTGAATTTACCTTTGGTGGGCCACACAATAACGTACATCTGATTCACTTATGTCACTGCTAGTTAATCTAAATTATAACATTGTTGCCAGGACCAAAATATTAAACTCTAGTTCCCGATTAGTGCCGCTAAGATGCAGTGATGGAAAAATATTGTTGTCAGGCCATTGCAAAGTGGTAAGCCACATGTGGTTGCGGGTAACTTGAAATGAAGTGGGCCTACGGGCTGCTGGTTCTCTCCACGCCTGCTCCACAACTTTGAGCACACAGGTAGCCGCGGTGAGCTGACAGTGACGTGCGTGTGCGTGACCAGGCACTATCGCCCAATGTTCGTGCAGCTGGGCTGCTTCCCGTGGATAAACACGGCATCGCCGCGTGGCAACTGCCCCTTCGAGCTTGAGATCCTCCCAGCTGGGCCCTCCCAGCAGCAACTGCAGGAGCAGAAACAGCAGCAGGAGCTGAAAATTAAGCAGCAGAAGCAGCCACAGCAAGACCAACAGCAGATGCTCGTCATGGGAAACAAAAGGTAATAGTTGTCCATATTTGGCACAATTTAGTTGGGCTGCAAAAATTTCCCTGCTTCAATGATTTGTTGAATTATCATGAATTGAGGTAATTTTTAAAATTACGGATAGAAAAAATATATTCTCCTCTTGAGATTTGATTGTAAAGTTTTATTGTTGTTAAAGACAATGGATATTTAAAAAACAATTTTTTTATTTATTTAAAGAGTTTCAAGTGGCGATAGGAGGACATTTATTCATTGGTTCACTTTGTGGAGAAATGAGTCCACATCATATGGGTAAATCAAAATGGACTGATTTTGTGGTTTTCGGACAGGCATCAGAAGCATCCGTAATTAACTATTACCTATAGTCTCTACCCATGGGCACCAGTTGTGATTGATTGAAAGTTTTGTCTTTTAAATTAAATGCAATGGCCACACTTTAATATGTCCAGTCAAAATATCTTCCTAAATAAGTGACTTGTCAGCAGTGCTCAATTCTGTTGACAGCGTTGAGCCGATTGTATAAATGAGACATTCCTGTGACAGGCGCCCTTTTGTACATGTACAGTGGTACCTCGGTATACGTCGTTAATTCGTTCCAGAATGTAGGACTTATACCGAAAATGATGTAGACACCAAACGAATTTTTCCCATAAGAAATAAAGGGAAAGGAAATAATCTGTTTTAGAGTATAAGAAATTGTATTTTATATGGCATATTATACATTAATGGGGTTGTATAAAATAATTTAGACACTACGTATTACTAAAATCCATACATAAATTAAAATAAATGCATAAATACATTTAAAAAAATTTAAAGAAAAATTAAATGTAACATCACTTTACTTTGCTGAGAGGAGTTGATAGCCTACGGGGATGGTGGTGAGGAAGGGGAGGAGGAGGAGATGCTATTTTTTGAAAGGAGAGTCCCCTTCCATTATAACTACTGTACAGGCAGACTGAGGGGCGGCGCTTTGTTTGAGTCGTGAACGGGGTATACGCGGGTACGCGGTGACTCATCCCGACCAATACAAGTTATAGCAAGCGCGTTGTATCCCAAGCAAGACGTCGTATCCCAAGACATTTTTTCTCGTCAAAACACGACGTATACCAAATTCGACGTATTCCAAAACGGTCGTATACCGAGGTATGACTGTACATGATTACGACTGAAGTGGGCATGTGAAACACATGAGGTGTCCAGGTCAGTTTTGCTCCAGGTGCCAACTCGCATTCATTTGTGTTGCGACTTGACCCTGCAGAGCCGAGACTAATGCTAACACGAAGGCGGCAGCCAAGCCGAGTGCACATGACGGAGGCTGCAAGAGAACGGGAGGCCCCGCTCAGTTTCCGCCCTGCCGGCCCAAGCATGGCTACTGCGAGTGCTGCTGCCTCACCTTCCAGCACATGCAGTCGGTGAGGACTCTCCACTCACCCACCCGCTCACCTTTTGGCCAGTTAGCCCGCTTACTAACCTTCCTAATGGCCCACCCGCAGGTAAGCACACGGGTGGGCTAGCAGCCCGCTTACCTGCATGCTCACCTGCTTGGCTGTTGCCCTACACATCGGTCATCTTACTGTCCTGCTCGAGCATTGGCTGTACACTTCAGAATATTTATTTATGCTGGAGCTATGAAGCTCTTTTTCACAGATGTCTCTGTTGTCCAGCAACAGCAGATGCATCTATCCAGAGGCAGCAGAGAAATGAAAACAGCAAAACTTATGACACCTTCAGGGTATACAAGGGGTAATTGAAAGGTTTGGGAAGAAAGATTTTCGCATCACATTGGGATTATCGTAAAGTTTTGTTCTTATATAAGAATTTTATAAAAAATAAATGCATTTACGTAAAGTGTGACTAACATTCCTCAACTGACCTACAACTTATATATGCTCCCATCTGAATTTAACAATTAATATTAGGAGTCACAATTATTTTATTTCCTCTATCAAGGCCTAGGGAATAAAGTTATCCAGTCTGCATTTGCAAACTGCATATTTTTTCAGTCCACGAGGCGTGCTGAGAACAAACACAATGTGACTCACATCAGGTGCTTTTTGTCTTCCGTGTCCACCGTAGCATATGCAAAACGAAGGCCATCGGTCCTTTGCCTTGGACGATACAAACTACGTGGAGCTCGACGCTATAATCCGCCAGCTGGAGATGAGGAGCTCTGCCAGCCCCACAGCAACGCTCGGCAGGTGATAAAAAAAAAATCAATCTCACGTCCAACTGCGATTCTGGCATGACGGCTGTGATGCAGCTGTTTTAATAAAAACCGACTGCTAAATTCTTCTTGGTTCTTTCGGTAAAGTCACCGAAAGAACCAAGAAGATGAATCCCTGCAGTCACGAAAGCTTTAAATCGAAATTCGACTGCTAAATTGTTGCAGAATAAACTATAATCCAAACTCAACTTAACCCTAGTGTAACCCAAAACTAACCTAGATCTAATCGTAACACTAACCCGAGGCTTAACTTAATTCTAACCTAAACCTAGTTTAGTTTTAACTCCATCATAACGAAACTCTAAACTCATCCTGAATCCTAACTTAACCGTAACTTTAATAGAACCCGTTATCCCTTAATCTCTCATCCAAGCTTTAGGCCAACTTATTAACCATTATCCTATCATTAACGTTAAATGTAACCTAACCCGAACACAAGTCTGAGATGTAACTATAAATTAATAAACACTCACCTTAACCCCAACCAAAGTCTTAGCCTTAACTGTAGCTGTAACCTTAATCTAACCTAGTACTAATATTAACCATAACCTTTCCATACCACTAACTCAATACCAAATACTAACCTACCTCAACATCACGTAACCTTGAACCCACATTTATCCATAAACCCATACTCTGCCTAAGTCCAATTTTAATCCTTAACATCGACACTTCACTGAAATAACTTCGTATTACGCTACATTTGTGAATGAATAGTATAACGTTTTTGTACGTTTGCACATACTCATTACAGATTCCATTCGATGATTCCATTTGTGAATCATTTTGATGTTTGTATGAGATTAACTTTGGACCACATTGTCTTCAATTCCCTTCACGTGACAGCCGTTCATCTCCACACAAGTTGATTATTCTAAATATAACTTTTCATTATTGTACCAGTACAGAAAGGGCAATTTCGGAAGTGTTTATCTCTGATGCTTCCCTTTTCTGCAAGTTGAAATGGGTTCAAACTTGATTTGAAGCTTTCGTGACTGCAGGAATTACTCTCTGGTTCTTTCGATAAAGTCCCGTAGAAAGGAAATAATTAAATAATGGAATACGACGTTTCGATTGCAACACAAGCAACCATCATCAGGTAGAACTACATTTAAGAGAGAGACAAAACACACACAGACAGACACAAGCAGAAAGAGACACACAAAGAGAGACACACAACATAGACACACAGAGACCCAATGCCTCTGTGTCGAGGCCTTAAATAGAGAGAGAGGGGGGGGGGGCAGAGAGAGAGGTGGGTCTGCTGGAGCAGAGAAATTATCATGTCAATGGAAGACCCAACAATACTGGTAGATTTTTGAGAGAGTTGTGTGGAAATCCACCCTTAAGCGACCGAGGGAGAGAAAGAGCGATTTGACCTATGAGAGCCTGGTAAATTTTAGAGAGAGATATAGGCAGTTTGAGAAAACAAAATTTAGCAATTTTTTTTGGAAATGTAATGCAATGCAACACAGAGATTCGGCTAACACACAGTTAACGCATAGCCTGGTTGATTACGATCTCCAATGATTGCTAAAATTAGAAGTTAAGTGTGAAATTTTACAAACAGAGGCACAGAGAGAGAGAGAGAAAATAAACTTACATCCTCAGACACAGAGAGAAAACGAACTTATATCCTTCCCGTAGAGGTGGTTGAAAATTGAGTGGAAGCTTTCGTGACTGCAGGAATTACTCTTTGGTTCTTTCGGTAAAGTCGCGTAGAAAGAAAATAAATTAAATAATAGAATACGACATTTTGATTGCAACACAAGCAACCGTCATCAGGTAGAACTAAATTTGAGAGAGAGACAAAACACAGACACGGAGACACAGAGAGAGACACAGACACACAGAGAAAGACACCCAACATAGACACACAGAGACCCAATGCCTCTGTGTCGAGGCCTTAAATAGAGAGAGAGGGGGGGGGGGCAGAGAGAGAGAGAGGTGGGTCTGCTGGGGCAGCTGCTGGAGCCAGCGAAAATTAGCATGTCAATGAAAGACCCAACAAGACTGGTACATTTTAGAGAGAAATAGGCAGTTTGAGAAAACAACTTAACTTCTAACTGTAGCAATCTTTGGAGATCGTAATCAACCTGGCTATGCGTTAACTGTGTTAGCTGACTCTCTGTTGCATTGCATTACATTACACAAAAAAATTGCTAAATCTTGTTGTCTCAAACTGCCTATTTCTCTCTCTAAAATTTACCAGGCTCTCATCGGTCCATTCGCTCTTTCTCTCCCTCGGTCGCTTCGGGGTGGATCTCCACACAACTCTCTCTAAAATGTACCAGTCTTGTTGGGTCTTTCATTGACATGCCAATTTCTTTGCTCGAGCAGCTGCTCCAGCAGACCCACCTCTCTCTCTGCCCCACCCCCCCCTGTCTCTCTATTTAAGGCCTCGACACAGAGGCATTGGGTCTCTGTGTGTCTCTCTGTGTGTGTCTGTGTCTCTCTCTGCTTATGTGTCTGTCTGTGTTTTGTCTCTCTCTCAAATTTAGTTCTACCTGATGACGGTTGCTTGTGTTGCAATCGAAACGTCATATTCTATTATTTAATTTATTTTATTTCTACGTGACTTTACCGAAAGAACCAAAGAGTTGAAATGGGTTGTAGAGTAATTTATCAAGTGGGAATGCAGCTGTGGGATTATAAAAAAAAATCCCTCATGCTATGGGACAGGCCTTGGTGCACTGATACTGACGTATGTGTCACCTTCTGCTTCTGTCCTCTGCCAGCATTACTCCCGAGTTTTCAAGGCCAATGCAGGTGTGTCAGCAGGAAAGAAGTCGTCGACCTTCCTATCGTGCAGACACTGGGGCGGCCCTGATGGCCACCTTGCATGGCAGTGGTGGTGGTGGAAGTAAAGGTAATAGAGCTGCTGGCATCGGAAGCAGTGGAAGAAAAGGTGATATAGGTGGTAGAGGTGAAGGTGGCATCAGTGGAGATGGAAGCAAATGTGGTGGTGATTCTGGCCTCTCCCAAACGCGACCTTGTGCTACCAGCATAGAGGCCATTGACACTGCCTGTGTGGGAAGGACCGGGAGTTTCAGCCGTGCCTCCTTTTCCACGAAGCTGCCAAACGATGTCATGCCTTTGTTGTCCCCATGCACTGTGGCAGAGAGCTTCTCTATGCTGTCCCATAATAATCTGGAACCACTTCGGCTCCGAGCAGAGAGGGTTTCAGCTATAGCCAATGCGGCCACGTCACGCCAGTCACCGGTGGCCAACTGTTTGTCAAAATCCAAGAAGCGCAAAGCGAAATTAACCGCAGGAACTACCGCCATCCAAAGTGGCCAGACTTGATCACTCTGAGAGCGGGGAAGGAGGGATTGTTATGTCGACCTGGAACTCCGGAGCCGGCGACATGGGATGCACGGCAGCAGATGCAGACTACTCACATGGGATCAGGGGCTGTGCAGGTGGTGGGGAAGCGCTTGGCCACTCCATGCCCACCGCAGATGCTGCTCCCATATGTCAGGCAGACGATGTTAATGTTTTGCAAGTCACTGATGGAACAGTCGATCGAACTTGGCTCAGCGGCACTGAGGTACAAGCGGAGGCCCCCTGGTGGGAGAGGAATTCGGCATTGGAGGCAACAGGTGAGGGCGGAATACCACTTTACCTCCAGCTGCTCCAGATCTTCCGGACGAGTGAGGTGGACTCCTTTGAGGGATTCCATTTGGATGGTGACGGGGTACAGGAGCAGCAGGAGGAGCAGGTTGCGGAGAGCGCAGGCTCCCACGAGGACAAGCAAGGAGGACCGACGCTGCACATCGCCCAGGACAGCAGGGATGAGCAAGACAGTACTCGCTACATGGGCAGTGGCCTCCCAGGAGATGCAGCTGAACACAACAGCGCAGCTGATAGCACAGCAAGGACGAGCACACGAAACAGAACTCCGACGGAAGCCAGCAGCAAAACTGCTGGGTTGCCCGGGCAACCCAGCAGTGGCCAATCTGGTTCCAGATGTTCAGCAACCTCAGTACAGATGACTTCAGGTGGAGATATCAAGCAACTCCAGGAAATTGCAGTCTCTTCGAAGAGCAGCTCTGAATGGGACCCGCTGTTCCCTTCACGAGGGAAGCAGCGAAAGGTGAACGGCGCGTATGATAACCTGCGCGACGTGTGCGTGGACGTGACCGACATGGGCTATCAGGCACACCTGGATGCCGTGCTCGGGGCCAACCTCAACCCCAAGTGACGTCTTCACCCGCATACTCGCGCACCGGCAGAGAGGCTCACCATTCTCTACAGTGCTGCCTGGGTGCGGTAGAGCAGGGGGGTGGGAACCTGAGTACCGAATAGGACGTTTTAGATATGTTTGGCGGGACACATATTAACACACCTCAGTCACTTCTCTCACTGAAAGAGGCACTTGTAGTTACAGAATTAACTTGAGTGCATTAAAATAACCAGTGGTGAAATCTTTTTTTAATCTAGTAGCCTATTAATTTGGCTGTTATGGCAGCGATGGATAAAATATCGTCCGTGGCCAGTTTCAAAGTAGTAGGCTTCAACGCGGCCGTGTGTTGTATGAAATAAAGTTGCGAGCCGTATCCGATCCACGGGTCGTAGATTCCTCACCCTTTTGCCCCCTTAAATTCACTGTCACTTTGCAATGGAGGGGTGGTTTGTGACAGGGGAACCTCAGAGCAGCGGTCTTATGCCTTAAAGAATGCAACCCATATAATAGCCATTGGTAGATGCCCTTGGGCAGTTCCCACGCCGTCTGACATTGTTGTCGTTGATTAAATAAAAAATATAAATTACAGGTGTGCTCTAGAGGCACACTTTGGCATTGCTTTTGTTGTAGCATAATTATTTTTCCTAACAAAGTTTAAAAACTCGTGTTGGACAGTCCAGGAAACAACACAGGAATGTATCTACAAGGGATGTTTATTTTGGGTTGTCTTTCATGAGCGATGGCACAAACCGGCATTACATTCTAGCGACAGTTTATGCAGTCAGAAACAGTACCTCAGCGGTCTGATGTTGCCAATTGTGTGATGTGAAGCGTGCAGAATTTGCTGTGTTACATTTTCCGCAGACGGTGGAAATGTCGGTGCTATTTGTTTATGCTTCTCATCCTGAATGATGAGTGTCTTTACCTTTTGCTGATTGGTTTAAATTATATACGCGTGATGTTGGGCGATGGACAGATTCCTGTGGACCTGTGTCCACCAGAGCCAAACTGTTTACTTTAATGAAGTGTGGTGTAGTTTAGCGGCTGCCAAGCACAGCTGCTTTTGGCAACATGCATCAATGTATTTGGTAAACATGTAACAGACACATACTTCATTTGTTATCTAAAAGTACACAATGGGACTTTCGGGAGGAATTTATTTTAATGAGGTGACAACTCATTGGCATTTTATTCTCACAAGTACCTCCTGATGGCAGACTTTGCCCATTCATATCACCATGTAGGTTTTTAGCAGTGAATTAAAACACGTTTAACTTACATGTTATGTTTGAGTTAGCATGCATACCATCGCAGATCACCAGTGTCTTATCATCGTCATTGGACATCCTTTTTAGTTTTAACAGCTCATGGGTCAATGCCAGAAGGCAGTGGCTTTCTGCCAAGGCTTTACCCCATTGCTGCAATGTGACGAAATAATAAAGAGCATCTCCGCAGGAGTGGGGGGGTTCATCTCAACGTGTAGCGTCCACAAATGCCTCGTTGTGTGAGAGTTGTGCCGAATTATATCAACGTCCGCGCTGGAGGCACTCGAGTTGTGCTCGTTTATTCACCCAGACCTGCCGCTCACTCGGCAATAACATTACTGTCGCAAAAAAATAGCCATATTTCAATATTAATGACATTCTCAAAACTTTAGGCGGCTTGGATAAATCGCAACATTCGTCAAAATGTGAATGTCCGTCATTTATCGTAATGAAAAGCACTTAACCCATACATGTCACGTCAGCAGTGCCTGGAGTTGATATATATATGACTTGGGATTATTTGCATTTTGGTGTTCGTGATTATTAAGCGCCTAAACTCACGAGATTGTGTCGTCCTGTGAATCTCTGGTAATATATTAACTACAAAATCTCACTACCTCTGTTGGCTACCACAACCAACATTCATGAAACCAGTGTTGATGTGCAGTTTACATTCGGGTTTGGTCGTTACACTTGTCAGGCTTGCTGCAGTTCCTCCAGTTTTGAGCCCACAACCGAATAAAATCTTTATTTTGTAAGGTACATACAGCAAGGGTTGTATCCCAGGCTGTCTTACACACATTTGAAGCATCTTTAATTGGAGACAGGATGTGAGATTAGGATTAAGAAAGTGTGTAAAATACTGAGATTGTCAATATATTTTCATAACTTTACAGTAATGGTCAGGGAACGTTATTTTGATACCAATCAGTTGTCACCATCCCATACCGTCCTCTAGTGATGTCACTAGAGCGCTCCTGACTAAATCTAAATGTATTTTTCTTTCTAAGTATCAAGCCGATCCATGTTAGCAAATGGTTTTTAATTTGTGCCTTCCTTTAACTAGCATAGGTGCATTTATACCTGTGCACCCACAGCAATTCTGGAATGGGATGAGGGTTAAACAAAGAGCCACTAATCAGAACCATTCTCAGCCCCGAGGCCAGAGCAGACACTAATAACCACCGATTTACGTGGCCAGTGAGTGAATTACTTGATAACCTACTCCGTTTCAAATGGTTTTCAGAACATTTACCATTAGCCACATTCGGAAATTGGAACCACTACATTTATGCCACCCCACGTGGTACTTGGCAAGTGAAATGTCTGGTCTGGTACCAGCACTGCTAGCAGCCTCAATTGGCAGAGCAGTGAAACAAATCTCGTTGAGGGCTAGAGGCTGCCCACAGGAAGCTCAGCTTGCTGCAACAATCACATCGGTCGATGAAAAAAAAGACCAAATAAAAAGTATGTACAAGTTTAAATTGTTTTTTTATATTAAAGTTTGTATTATTTCATTGCTTGTACTATTGCGACCCAAATAATCATTGGTAGTTTTGTGGCGAATACAGTATACTGTATAACAAATTTCCTATCTGGATACCTCTGCTGTCTGCCGCTCAAGTGCGCGGTAGTGACGTCGCCTCGATCCCAGTGTCGAGGTGGGTTCGTGCGTTCTGCATGCCATCCCCCACTTTAAACTTCTGGAATTTCACCAGCATTGGTTCCAGCATAACTAATGATGAAGCCCGTTATGTCAAAACCAGTTGAGTTTGCTCATGTTGACCCAATGATGCTGAAATGAATTTAATCATTCCCATAAAGCAATGTGGCTGACAATGTGTAGAAACCAATGGTTATATATCCATCGATGAACACATGGGAAAGAGGCACATTTTATGCTTATCCAATGTGCAAATTAAATGACATCAGAATTGGTTGCCTTTTAAAATGTAATTAGTTCAGCTCTACCACATGTTGGTGCCTTGTGCAGCCTCAATCTTTAAATGTACAGGGACTCTATTTACGAACATTCTACTTACGAACTTTCAGAGATACGAACAAACCTGTCCATGTGTCAAGTTGCCTGTTCAGGGCCAAGAGTCTTAAGTTAAATCGCCGCTGAAATCGATGGTGGTGGTGGCAGCATCTACAGGAGATTATACAACTTTTAAAGCCATTCTCCGTGTTTATTGTACATGCTGTACACGTTTTAAATCGACAGGAGTAAAATTTTACTTGCGAATCCACTTACGAACAGACCTCTGGAACCTAAATTGTTCGTAAGTAGAGGGGTCCCTGTAATTTTATAACTCAAAGAATTCCTGTAGTCCCTTAGTTCAGCATAGTCTCCGTTTGAGTGACAATTATTTATCCAGAAAAGCCTCACCGAGTCTCTTTCAGGAGGTACCTGCGAAGTTGTAGGTTGGGGACAATAATTGCTACGTCCATTCCAATTGAGTGCAATGAGAGCCATCAACGCTGTAAAATAGCGGATGCCCTGTTTCATGTAGCAGAGGCTTTAGATCGACAGTGTCACGAGGTGGGGGGAAAACATGCGTAGACAAAACATGATCTATAGTAAGGGATAATTGGTCGCCTGTTGACCACATTGACATCGGTGTGGTTTCCCCTCGCCTTCATTCAACACTCGATCCTTATGGCGGTACCTTGGGATATCAAATAATACTAAATGGCCAAGGCAATTAAATGTTGTTTCTGGGACACTTTTTTCTAGGGGTGTTACTTACCTCCGCGACTGTGGTACCAATCAATCCGACATCAGTGCTACTCCGTGATGTCAAAACACAGCAAGGACGATTGCGCTGAAACCCTGAACGCTCGTATGCACCATCGTGCACAGCAGCTCGTCGAGATGAGTCGATTGCCGCATCGTCGACCGTCAACCGACTAAAAATGACTGCATCACGGACATTATGCGAGAGCCAGGGTATTATGGTACTCTGGGGTACCGCCATAAGGTTCACTTGCTGCTGCCAAAGCGTGCAGCCCAAGCTGATTAATTGAAATGTTCCCTGAAAAATTTGAGCTTTTTGGAGTGTCTTGTTGAATGTCTGTAAATATATTTTCTTGCCATTTCTACGTGTACAGTTGTAATTAAAGTTATTTATTTTTTGTGGATTTGTTTCAATCATTTTGTTGCTTGTCGCACGAACCCATGGTGTGAAAACCATGTGGTGCACATATAAATAAACGCCTGGAGGCCTGAGTTATGAACGGCTTGTGCAATTCTATTAATTGCATAGGCGAAGATTTGTTCCATTTCTGGTTCCCTACGGGATTTACACAAGGGGAATGCGTAACTTTCCGAGAGATGGCGGATGAGACCAGGCTTAAGACATTCCCGCGCAAATTAACAATTAGGAACACGCATTCACTTGCAGAAATAAATGCACGCAACATCATACAATACTTAAAAAGAACATTCATAATGTACAACTTGTCACAGCCAAGGGCACTGAGAATCACTGTGACCATGTTGCACACGGAGTTGATGTAACAACAGCAGCCATGTGGCATCGTGAATGCTTTCCTGGCAGCTGATTTGCTGATATGATGACAATCCCTTGTGATCACTGACGCGTGTGCATGATTGCAAAATGCCTGGGACCACAGATACTCTGGGGTTTGCACTCGGCAATTTCACAGCACTCGAATCAATGCCTGGTAGGATATACGTACATTTTTATTGGACTTGAGGCCACAGGATTTTCAAAACAAGTGCCATCACCATAAGCAATTGTTACCAAACCAATAATTCCAAAAACAACACATTTCACCACGAGAAATACCTTATACTCGGGTATACTTTTTTTAATACATTTCGAAGGAACAAATATCAGTTTGCAACACGAGGACTGCCGTATGTTGGGATGATATTGACAAAGGGAGACACCGATGGTGCACCAGTTCCTTACGCACGGCAAACATCCACCACAGGACTTCTAGCTGCCACACTCCGCTGCCATGCCACTTGCAAGCTGCAGTTTCTGCCGCAGGAAAGGCACCCTGCTTTCGGGTTGCAGCCTCTTCCATTGGCTGCTCGACACCTGTGATGCAATCACACGGCAAACAAGTCCCTCGCATCTGTCAAATACATGTACATCCCTATTGTCGATCCACTGCTGGATGAAAGCCCCCCCACCCTCTCTCCACGCACCTTTGTTGGCCATGAGGATTATTTTACCATGCTTCAGCACCCTCATCAGTGCGGGTTGATGTAATTGGGGAACAAAAGATACGGAAGCGTTTAAAGTTACACTTCAACCAGTTTGAAGTGTGTTTAACCATGTAGGCTTTTGCGACCAATATCCATAATACAGGTTTTTTTTGGGGTTAGATCGCGTAAATATAAATGTGTCGCGAAACCCACCACCAACCGACAGCCAACTAGTAAGGCTTGCAATTCAAACAGAATATGCCAATTCGTTACAAGTACAGCACACCTGCGTGTTGTTCGCCAGTTTGAAGTGTGCACGGTGGTCACCTAACCAGGCATTATCCAGACTCAACACTGCTTGCGGTTGGGCTTGGTTGGTCGGGAATATCAAGCTTTGGCTATAAGTTGGCCAGGAAATACCAGTATAGCATTGAATGTATCTGTGCAGTGCTGAGTGTTACCTCATCACAAGCATAAGTTTTCTCCAGATACTCCAGTATCCTCCCAGATATCAAATACTCGTGAATAGGAACTGGGGAAAAATCCTAATTCAGAGCCAATAAGACTTTCCTGGATAATTGGCATTATGTTTAGAATATAAAAGCCATTACCACGTTAAGCATGTATCATGGTGATGATTAGGTTTACACAAATGCATCCCTCTTCGCAATTTGACTCACAATTTGAGGGTCGCGAATAAAATATTTTTGTTACATTGTGGTGAATGTAGCACCTCGCGTGTGGCTGCAGAGGTCACGTGATTCAAATCGTAATGTACAAATCTCAAATCCGTCCATTCCTGGCACACACAAATTCGACACGTGTGATTTGAACGTAATACACCGATTATAATTGATGAACCAAACGTATTGTCACACGCTTGGTGGCCATGTCGACAGCGCCGCCGCCGCTGACAATGCTGACTTACCAGCGTCACGCGGTAGCCCAGAGCGTGCAGGTTCCGCACCTTCAGCGCCAACTTTCCACACGGGTGCTGGGACCCGAGGCAGAACTCAGCGGGGTGGCACCACAGCATGGCAACCCTGCGGCAGGGCACACGGGTAAAAGGGCGATGGTGCAGGTCGTATAGCACGACCGCCACGAGCAGTGCCCACATCGCATCCGAGGCCAATTACAATTGCAGCAGCACTCTTAAATCTCGGTTGAAAACTAATTTTTTTAGGACTGCTTTTTGTGTTTAGTTGTTCTTCCCCCGCACCTGCAATTAACATGGTTGGCTATGTATGGTGTGAAAGAAGTTCATACATACAAAGTTAAAATCTTAAGAAAAATTACACTGTGATTCAATTAATTACGAATGAAGTAACTGTAATTGAGCACAGGTGTAGCCGATATCACCGGTGGTTCAGGGCATAAGAGTCCAATGGACTCACCGCAGAGGCTTTGGGAGTGGGTCCTCTCTGAGGATACAAGCACCATCTCCAGGAACGTGGAGGCAATCTCCCTGATTGTGTGGGTTGTCTTGATCCGGCAGAGCAAGGCACTCATTTCCCTGGAGGAACTGAAGGACTTCTGTCCCCTGTAGGGTCACCTCGGCATCTGCACAAAGACAGGCTTCGCAGTGAAACTTTCATCAAGATGTTAGGTGTGTATGTGTGTATGTCTGTTGGAATTTCTTCGCACCGTACAGAGCCAACCATGCTAATCAGAGATGCGAGGGAAGGACAACAAACTATACGAAAAATAAGTTGTAAAGAAATGAGTTTTTAATCTAGATTCAAAAGTGCATAGCTCCAGTGACTTTCCTAATATCAGAAGAGAATTAAAGATGGCTGTAGAAGTGTATCTGAAAGCGCGCGATGCAGTGACCGTCTTTGTTCGATGGTTAGCCAAAAGTTGCTGCTGTGAAGATGACTGGACTTAGCAGTCATTTATCTTTGCACGAAAAAAATAATACCATGACTCCCCATGAATGGATTTAGCGATGCTCGTTTTTTACACGTCACTTTTTGACACTTAAATCCGGAAGATGCAAGTCCTTGGGGGTGGGTGGGGGGAAGAGTGGGCGGTTACACTACGAGTTTTTTTGCACAAACCGGTGGAGAATTATGAAACAAACGCTGGATGCTGATACGACACTAATATTAACGGGCAAATTTTTATTACAATTTTCAAGCTGTTGATTGTAATCCCAGTGGTCCCATGTGCCGCAAATGAGGTTCACGCTCAGCTTTCCTGTATGAACGACATAATTAGTGGTGTAAAAACACTCAAAAAATTCTCCATTAAATCTTCACTCTAACAGCCACACTCTTTCTTGATGCAGTCCCACAACCATTAGCAACATAGGATTGTGTAATCTCAATGTAGCAGCCCAATGCCAGATTCACATGCTCTTCTCAGAGGTACAGTCCGACATCCCCCTTGAGCATAGCACACGCACAATTATCTTTCAAAAAGGTTGATTCGGTTTTCATTTAACTTTGAGATGTTAACAGAAAAGCCCCGATGACTCATCACCAGTGAGATATTGACATTGTTTCAAGATATTTTACGAAGCCTTTCAGGAATAATCATTAACCACATGAACAGTCAGCTACTGATGTGATTGCAAGGATTTACTGGCTAGATGCCCACCTGTATACATGCAAGTCATCATCAAAGTGCACAATTTTTATGTAATATTCCTCACAACAGGCGAATAGGCTGCAGCACAAAACCCCGTCTTTTTCCAGTCTGAACTATCACGCCCCAACACTAATATAATAAGCCAAGAATGTGTGTGTGTCCCGTGCATGACGTCACTCCACATTAATACGCAGAAGGTGGAGCGTAAATAATTATTTTCGCAAATTCGCTTTAAATTTGACGTTTCTTTATTCTTCAGCACTTGAGACAAAAGGTAAGCTAATTTATGCTTGTAAATTATGGTAAAATAGATATTTCTCGGCGATTTTCCAGATATTGTATCGATTTCCAATTTATTTAAATCCCAGCGACCGAAAGCAGGAGAGAATAAAATATTAGAGTAGTGAATTTGAACAAATTGAAGGTCAGTTATATACAGTGCTACAGTGACATGAAGTGAAGTGTTTTATGACGTAGTTTTGTGCCAGAATCACTGCCATTAATACAGTGCTACAGTGAAATGCAGTGAAGTGTTTCATGACATACTTTTGTGCAAGACTGCCTGCCATTGAATTTACACAAGATACAATTATACTCTGGTCAATTTTTTCGTAAATATTACAGCTTCCGTCCTAGGACGGGCAAACAAGCTAGTTAGTATATAACTGAACGTTGATAACATGTGCACTTTCCTTCCTTGGTGGAGAAGACCATTTCCCAAACCGACAAAGCCATTCTTTGGTCAAACATGTCATTGAACATTAGAGATGTGAGATGGGCATCCTGTGCCGCTGCACTGTGATAAACCTGCCACAACAGCAACAGTGCTCCCAATCTTGGCATTTACAATTTGAATTGCGCCGAGTCGGCATTAATCCCTTGGGGTCAGGATGTAGCAAGGTAACAAGTGACGGTGAAAGTCACCTTGTCCAATATGACAATGGCGGTGACGACGAAGATGATGATGATCATGGTGGCGTCAACGGTCACAGATACGACGATGCTGATAATGATCGTGACGACGATGATAGTAATGACAGTTGAAATGACAGTGTCACTGATGTGAACGATGATGATGATAATAAAGACCACGTTCTAAATTTGGTACGACTACTTGCTTGGCTTGTGGACAGCTCACCTATACTGTAGAGCCCACCCACGGTGACCCCGACCCTGACCTGACCGCTCCCTCGGAGGGCCTCCGTCAGCACAGAGGGCAACTCGGGGCAGCGGGTCAGGGATGACGGGTTCGGGTCTGGGGAGGAGGAGGCAGCTTCCACAGCAGGGACACCAGGGAGTTTCTTCTGCAGATGCAAGCTCAGTCTGATGGCCTGAAGCTCCAACTCATTCTGCAGGCGCTTCAGAGAGTCTGCAGCCACTCTCAAGACAAAGATTCCACCCTTATAGCCTTAACAGAATTTTGGGGCAAGTTCTGTTTGCTAGCACCAGTCTCAACGCAACGTGAACCGGGTGTCTTTTGTCTCCCAAGTTCAGTTGATATACGGCAGTGTTTCTCAAAACTCCTGGGCTCATGACCCAACCTGCCTTTCTCCACATGCAGCTTTCCATGATGACCGATCGCAGTCATTCATATGCACGTTGAGCCACTCGCTGCAATCGTGCGCTTTCAGATGCGCTTCTGCAGTTGTCTGCAACGCTCTTCCTTCCAATATGAGGAAGCCACTGGAGGCTATGCACTTTTAAATCTTAAGATTTAAATCTCATTTCTTTCGAACTCAGTTTTTTGTATTTAGTTTGCTGTCCTTCCCCCGCACTTCCCACTAGCACAGTTGGCTACGTACGGTGCGAAAGAAGATCAATGTACGTACACAACGTGGTTTGTAATCTTAGAAAGTGGCATCGTGGGGGTTGGTCACATATAATAAATGTTTCAGAATCACTCAAGAAGGGGAGATTTTATTTTCTTGAGAATTGTAACTTTTTTTTAAACTATTTTTTCTTGAACATTTTAGAATGTTTTCCCTCACAATGGCTGCTACATAATGTAGCAAAGTCGCAGGAGTTGGTTATATAATACGAGCAAGAAAATGCATTAGCTTCCTAACTAAAATCAGTACAAATTAAGTCAGATGTTCACTTAAGGGGTTTGATGCAACTGGTTACCGCTTCCCAATGCTGTACATTCCTCACAAACACAATTGTAATAAAAAAAAATAGCTATCATACTTACACATGCCTTCACTTTCGGTGAGTTGGTGATAGTCGATGTGGGTTTGCGTGGTCAACTAAAAGGACTGAAGGTGCCGAGTCCGTTATTATGTGATTAAATAAAGGACTTCAGGACTCCGGGGATCCGGCTGCTGACCTGAAACGCTCAGCAGCTCCGTGCAGGAGTGGTCTGCAAGCAGGGCGCTAGCGACGGCGCTGGGCGGGCGACGGCCCAGGATGCACAGCGCCCGCACACCCACAAACAGCTCGTGCGCAGACAACTCCGGGAGATGATGCTCCAACGCCGAGCTCAACACCTCCAGGAACCTGCGAGCGGGGAGGCCCGGGGGGGCACAGGGACGTAGAGGGCGAGTACAAAGTACATGCCGGCACACGGAGACCAGCGCCTTGTGAGTCGTATGTGTACCGTCGTGCGGTATGGGGACGAGCCACTGACATGAGACGTCGTGTCATTTATATTGCCATCACAGTGGCCGACCAACCAACGCCTTGCAAAGTCATTACTTGCAATTGCAGGTCGTCGTGTACCAGTGTCATCACAGCCCATGTATGACTCACGTTTCGGCAGCCCCGTGCGGCTGGTGGTTGAGCAAGGAGTAGATGTGCAGGAGGACCATGAGGTTCTTCTTATCGAGGTGACACGGCATTGGTTGCTCCTGCTGTTGCTCCTGCTGCTGCTGCTCCTGCAGCAGGAGGAGAGCGACTGCATCCAGCAGGCCCGGGTGTCGGAACCTCAACCTGCTCAGCAGCAGCAGTAGGGTACATGCCTGGAGTGCGAGACAGACAGGTGTGCATGAAGTCACACACACAAACACACTGGGAGAGAGAGGTGTGCAGGCAGTCATACACACACATAGGGAGGACGGTGGCAGGGGTGGACACCACCTCCTATGTTGGCTGCCTACTATGTATTAATTCTGCCGGTCATACCACCAAGAATCCAGATGGCAACCTCTTTAATCAAATGCACTTGACTGAAACAGTGCATCCATCCTATTTTTAGTTATCATTTCATGAAGGTGGGTTTTTTAAGTGTTACCTGCTTGACCTTTTGCCACATGAAAAACAGATCATAAATAGATGGGCTCAGAGGCTAAGTAGTGCCAACCATATCATATTCTCCATAACTGAATTATTTTAGCTAGAAGCTGTGTTCATATATGACAAATTAATATAATAATTTACATTTGAAATGTCAAAGCTAAGCAGGGAAAAATATAGACGATAGGCTTGTAAGCATGCTCCATAGCCGATCACACGTACACACGGAAGCAAGAACAAACAGCACACCCCAGTGGCGGCCAGCACGTCCCATGATATGGTGGTGACACGGCCGAGCGGTAGCGCGTTCGCCACTTGTCGCAGAAGTGGCCGGTTTGAATCCAGCGGCCCCGGTTATTACTGCAGTGTGTAATAACCGCGGTAATACTACGCGCCATCTGCTCCATGGTGGATGTTAAAGATCCCCTGATGTAATTTGCATTGTGTGCCAGCATTAGGGTCCAAATTAGCAAAATTCCAAAATTTCACACAAATTACTCAGTTGGGATAAAATATAGCAATCATCGTCCCAGTATTGGAAGACTAATGCTCCAGGTCACTTCAGCAAATGGGACTTGCTGTGGTGCAAAGATGTTAACTCCCTCGCCTGGTATGCAGAAGGTTGTGGGTTTGATCCAGACCCTGACGCCTGTATGTCTGGACTTTGCATGTTCTCCCCGTGGTCACGTGGATTTTCTCCAGGTCCTCCGATTTTCCCTCCACATTTAGGAATATGCATATAGAGTGTTTGGCTGCTATAGATTTCCACATGATAAGCCACTTTGTTGAGCTATCATTTGTGGCCAGGTTGCTTCTGAAAAAGAGCTATATAGCTCAGTGGGCCTTATTTGGGAAAATAAATAGTTTCTAACAAATAGTTTATAGACTATTTTGGCCTCTCGAGTTCTCACCTGGTTAAACAGAATACACTAAACAAAAAAAAGACACATGCACACGTGCCTCGTTCAAGCCGTAGAGTTGCAGTCTGGTGACGGCGTGTTCAGCGATGGAGGAGAAGAGCTGCGTGTTGTAGTAGCCCAGCTGGTTACACGCTTTCAACAGCTGCAGCAGCTCCGATAACTTCAGCTCCTGCAGATTCCCTGGGAAGCAGCAGAGGGCAGGGCAACATAACACTGATAAGGTGACTGGATCTGGACTTTCCAATGATTCAGGTAATAGATATGCCACTGATGATCGGTTTTGTTAATCACCTAATTGGATAACACAAACTTAGGTGGCATCATCAACCACGTCGTGCTGGGCATGGCTTGTAGTGGGTTTCCCACCTTCAAGCGGCAGGATATCAGGGCGGCTGCCATATTTAAAAGGGACTGACCACACATTGGAATCGATGGCAATATAATTTGAAGAATTGATTAATCGTCTCGGCTCTAATTGTGACCAACGGAGGAGGGGGCAGGAGGAGCATTACATGGGGAGTTAAGCGTGGCTTCCTACGTGTGCGTGCGTTCCTACCAGCGATGATCGGGCTGGCTGCGGACAGTAGCTCGGGGGCGTTGTGTTGCATCCGGGCCAGGCTGAAGAACAACCTGAGAACGTTGGCTGTTGTGAACTGATCCAGGACGAAGAGCGCCCACGCCTGCGTCTGTACCCACGCACAAACATACGTTCAAGCGCGTGCATGTGCTGTGCCGGTGGTAACGAACCAGCGTCCACAATGAACCAGCACAGGGGCGAGGTGCTGGCAGACATCCCTTACCACGAGCTTGTCCTTGAGGGCGGTTGGCACGGTGGGTCCCAAGTGATACATTAGCATCAGTAGCACGGGCACTCTGTCCACCTCTGGCAGTGCCAGCTGCGCTCGCATCGTCAGAGCAGCTCGCAGCGCCTGTGTGTTCCTGTCCTGCAGCAGGAAAGGCAGGCAGCTTGCCACCACACCCAGGGCTCGTCCGTTAAACTCATTGATGCTCACCTGTTGACAGGGAGGGAGTGAAGGGGCAGCAAAGGGAGAACCCATGCTAAACGGTAGAGCTGCACATTTCACAGACAGTTGCATGCCTACGCCCATTGCTCACAATGGCCATGACTAACAAATCTCTCAAGGGTCAACTGTGCTACTTAGCTGTGTGATGTACTCACGTTGTTATCATTAATTTCCAATTGATTCTTATACTCAGAATACATGGATTGATAGTGTCTGCGTAAGAGATTGTCATTTGTATGTGAAAACATTGCAACTATTATAGATTATAAAAACAGGTCGCCAAGTTTGGAGTGCAATGCGCTAATCACCACGCCACCAAAGATCCCCCGTATAGCCTTAACAGACTAATGGGACACGTGCTCTTAGTGAGCATCTATGAAGGCCGGCATGGCACAGGAGGGGGTAAGTGACCAGCATCACGCCCAGCCGCCTTTGTTTCCCGAGTGGAGATATTTACACACCGCACCAGGTACTCATTTGAGGCTGAGTCGGCCTAGGGGAGGCCCAGGACCGGTTCAGATAATCGACACCGGTGTTGGCCATGAGCATGAATCGAACTCGGGTCGCCAGGTTCGTAGCGCTAACCGTTGCATCACCGCGCCACCACCACCACCACCCATTCACGACACGGCTGTTGATCTTTCAGCGCTCCGCACTCGACTTGCCTGCGCGGTGCGAATCAGCATCTGGACGAGGCGGCTCCGCAGCGGGATGCCGAGCCGGGTGGCAGCGGCGAGCGTGTAGCCCAGGAGCCCAGGTGTCAGGTAGCGGCTCGTGCGCAGAACCTGCTGACACAGCCCCGGGAAGTGCGGGTGCTGCAGCATCCGACGCTGCTCGTACGCGGCACGATCCGGCGGTAGCGCCCTCAGCGTCCTCCAGCAGGCGATGAGCAGGGAGCAGGGCCTTGTGTCCAGTACATCCGGCACGTGCACCGCAAAGTCGACGGCACCCATGGTCGATGGCTCTCCGGTGGTAGCAGTAACATCCAAGTTCAGCAGTTTAGGCGCAAGACCGTCCAATGCGAGCTCCAAGACATCGCTTGGGGTTTGGCACGTGGCCAGAAGTTTGTCCATCTCAATTTTGGGTTCCAATAAGTCACCTCTTTCGGTAGCTGTTCTGACAAGTTCCGTTGCGATCGGTGGCGCCCTCCTGTGGTCTCGTCGGCTGTTCCCTTGGTTTCTATTAGAACGTACATTTCTACCATAAGCGATGACATCCGTTTGTGGGTCATCTATGGAAGTATACTGCTCGGTGTTGCTCATGTAACCAGCAGACTTGCTCAAAGAAGTGAATTTACGCTTGTCGGCGGGGACAAGCCATCTGCTCTCAGCATGGCCTGTGTCTCGTCCCCCAGCAGTTCCGGGTGTCAGCCACGTTGAAAACATCAGTTTGCATTGCTCAACGTCATGGATGCTAAAGCGGGTGATGCGTGCGCGCGCACAACGCGCGAGGGACAACGCGTCTCGTCGGGAGGACGTCTGAAAGGAGTTCAAGGATCGTGCCCATGACGGGACGGCACAACCGCCAGCGTGCAGGTGGCTGACGACACGGCCGTACATGACGATCAGCGTTGTCTGTCTGGGCCACAGCCACCGAGGTTTGTTCAGGCCCTGCGCTTGAACCGAGAAGGGAGCTATATCATCACCTCTGAACCGCCACCAGGATGCCAAACGTTGATATCTGTGGGGCAATGCACGATACATGTGGTGAGTTAATGCTCTCAAAGTCAAAGACGCCACAAGGCAGAGAATGTGACACCTGCTGCTGTAATAAGACACATAGTAAAAATGTAAATAAGCCTTTCCACGCCGTATCGGTGATTGGGGCTGTTTGACCATACTTCACCACCCTCATCAGTGTGGATTGGTCAAGAGAGGGCACAGCACATGCTCGGTTAGCTGTGACCGGGAATCGAACTGAAGACGAACAGGTTCGTAGAGCAATGCCCTAACCACTGCGCCACAGTTCCATCCCTTGACGATACTGTACACGAGTTTATTTTGTATGCGGAAATGCATTTGCATGGTATAAAATCCTGCTTTGATACAATTACGCAATCCGATTAATCTAAAATAACGTCACCGAGTTCAGTCGACATCATCTTGCTCTCCTGTCAGCAAAGCAAAGAACGTACCGCAAGTCATTACACAATGTACAGTGATTTGCCTTCAGGGTATGAACACGTCGTGTTGATAGGCCGCGATCGCGCGCCGTCAGTTACACGGGTAAGGGGGCATTATCGCAGCAAGATATGTTTGTTAGTAGCACTAACAACATCGCACCATAACAGCGAGAGGCCTGACTTCAGCGGAGCGAATTCCCACCACGCGTCTCACCATGGGGGCTGCCATCTTTGCCAATGAGGCGAGCGGAGTTGTGAGGGGCACGTGAACAGACCCGAGCAATCGAGTGTCGGGGGTGAGTCAAAGGCTGCTGCACATATTCTTGGTTCTTTCGGTAAAGTCACGTAGAAGGGAAATAATAAAATAATAAAAATAATAAAATATAAAAAAAATTCTCACGACGTTTCGACTGCAACACAAGCAACCATCATCAGGTGTGAAATCCACAGCAAGAAAATTTTTAAAAAAGTGGCGTTTTTTTTTCTGCTTGCACGTGTTGGGGATTGGCTCATCGATGCGATCGGTCGAACAATTGCTCGGGTCTTTTTTTGTGGGGGGGGGGGGGGTGCTGGGGGGGGGACACAGAGTGGTTGCCATGGAGTCGGCATGCCGTTGCCCTAGAGACGGTTGTGTGCCGTTGCCATAGAGACGGCTGAGGGCGCGAGACATGGCGGCGTTCGTTCTGGCGGGTGAGAGCCGGGCACCACATCACTAACCGGTTACCAACGTGACGGTTACCGGTTACCGACGCCAGAGGGTTACCGATTTAGCGGCGCGGGTTTTGTTTGTATTGAGGTTAGAGAGGAACGATGAAGACGCAACTCAATTTTGAAACCAAACGAGGCCCCCTCTCTCTCTCTCAACACCATCATCGCCATTGGAACTTCATTTGCCAGTAAAACATAATAATTGGTTTGTTACCCTTCTATCTGGCAACAAACTGACACCTTTTTTACAAGGAGTCATGTTTGCATAGACCACAATACCTGCAGTCATAATGCAAACAAAAAACATAACTCTGATAATGTGTGCACTGTCCTTGAAGTTGATGACATAACTCTGATAATGTATGCATTGTCCTTGAAGTTGATGCCAGTGCATACATTATCAGAGTTGTGTTTTTGTTTGCATTATGACTGCAGGTATTGTGGTCTATGCAAACATGACTCCTTGTAAAAAAGGTGTCAGTTTTGTTGCCAGAAAAAAGGGTAAAATAAACAATTATCATCATCATCGCCTTGCGGGCACGTGGGGGCCGATTGGCCGACAGGAGTTTTAAACACGAAGTAGGAGGCTTTCGTGACCGATATAATCCATAATAGATGGGTTTTTTGGGTTAAATTCGCGTAAATATGAATGTGTCGTTTAACCCTCCACCACCCAACACAGCCAATTAGTAAAGGGTTGTCACGTAAACAGAAGGTGCCAATTCGTTACCAGTACAGTGTTGGAGAGCACGTATGTTCACTATACAATTACGATACTCACTATTACCTTACAAATTATATTAAACATTACACTGTTAATGATAATAATTAATGAGGGGGGCTGTTCGATGTGGAGTGACGTCACCTGCTCATGAATATTAATGAAGAGGGGGGGTCCATGTGGAGGACGTCACCTGCTCATGAATATTAATGAGGAGGGGGGTCCATGTGGAGTGACGTCACCTGCTCATGAATATTAATGAGGAGGGGGGTCCATGTGGAGGACGTCACCTGCTCATGAATATTAATAAGGAGGGGGGTCCATGTGGAGGACGTCACCTGCTCATGAATATTAATGAGGAGGGGGGTCCATGTGGAGGACGTCACCTGCTCATGAATATTAATGAGGGGGGTCCATGTGGAGGACGTCACCTGCTCATGAATATTATTGAGGAGGGGGGTCCATGTAGAGGACGCCACCTGCTCATGAATATTAATGAGGAGGGGGTCCATGTAGAGGACGCCACCTGCTCATGAATATTAATGAGGGGGGTCCATGTGGAGGACGTCACCTGCTCATGAATATTAATGAGGAGGGGGGTCCATGTGGAGGACGTCACCTGCTCATGAATATTAATGAGGGGGGTCCATGTGGAGGACGTCACCTGCTCATGAATATTAATGAGAGGGGGGGTCCATGTGGAGGACGTCACCTGCTCATGAATATTAATAAGGAGGGGGGTCCATGTGGAGGACGTCACCTGCTCATGAATATTAATGAGGGGGGGTCCATGTGGAGGACGCCACCTGCTCATGAATATTAATGAGGGGGGGGTCCATGTGGAGGACGCCACCTGCTCATGAATATTAATGAGGAGGGGGGTCCATGTGGAGGACGTCACATGCTCATGAATATTAATGAGGGGGGGGTCCATGTGGAGGACGCCACCTGCTCATGAATATTAATGAGGAGGGGGGTCCATGGAGGACGTCACCTGCTCATGAATATTAATGAGGGGGGCTGGTCAACGTGGAGTGACGTCACGAGCGTTAATGACATTCCTGGGTGATTATAGTAGGTATATTCTAAAGTAAACATCAAACTTCCTAGTGCACATGTATGTACTCTTAGTTATTTCGGTAAAGTCACGTAGGTAAAAAATGAAATTAATAAAAATAAAACAATAAAAATCACGACGTTTCGGAGGCAACACAAGTCTCCGTCATCAGGTGGGACCGTCACAGCCAGATTTGCTGCATCAAGTGAGGCAAGGATTCAAGATGTAATCCCTTAAATGCAAGTTGAGGGGGGAGGAGAGGGGGGGGGCTCATCAGAATGTGGTAGCCAATGAATGGAACGTATCGGGAGGGAGGGGAGCGGGGCTAAACGAAGGCACGAAGTGCTATGTAGAACGTATCGGGAGGGGGCGGGGCCAAAAGAATGAACGACGTGGTACACGAGAGTCGGCGACGTGGACGTGGTTGTGCGCAAGCAACTATTGTTGCACACGCCAACGTATTGGACGGAGAGGGGGAGGGGAGGCCAAAATAGAGTGTGGGGTGCAAGTGTACGTGGACATGTGTGTGTACAAGCACCTGTTGATACACATGATAGAAAAGAACGAAAATGCCCATGTTTATACTAGTGCTGGCTGAACAATAAAGAGAGTACTGTTAAACACTGGGGATGTTAACACTCGGTAAAGTTAAGTAAAATAGTGCCTGTCAGATAAGATGGTCCAAAAATGTGTAATTAAGTCTTTTTTGCATGGTTGATAACATCTTTCCAATGATTACTAAGTTTGTACCCATCATCACGGTTGAAATTATGTCTGTGTTTGTATATCTGAATGGCTTCGTGTACAAACCTTTGATGGTAGCCAGAGGGTTTGCAGAGCACCTTAGTCTCGGAGAAAACAATCTCATGAGAGCCCACCGAGTTGTAGCAATGATCGGCAACGGCGGAAGACTCAATTTTGACTTGTGCTCGCGGACACGTCTCTGATCGTGTCCGCGAGCACAAGTCAGATTTGAAACACGGCAAAATTGAGTCTTCCGCCGTTGCCGATCATTGCTACCCGTTCCCACAGTGACCCCGCTTTCGTCACGGGGTCTCCCTTAAGGACCCCACGAGACATGACGTCATCGAGCCGGCCAGCGTGCATGACGTCACGTTCCGTGACGTAATTGCACTGGACGGCACACATGACGTCACTATTTTACTCCTCTACATATGTATATCTCGTCAAGGAGTATAAACCATCACGCGAACTCCGGTCATCATCCTCACCGAACCATCGACCAAAGACGGTCAATATATCACGTGCTTTCAGATGCGCTTCTGCGGCCGTCTGGAATGCTCTTCCTTCCGAGGTTACGAAGCCACTACAGCTATGCACTTTTAAATCGAGATTGAAAAGTAATTTCTTTAGAACTGCTCTTTGTGTTTAGTTTGTTGTTCTTTCTCCGCACCTCCAATTAGCACGGTTGGCTATGTACACTGAGACAAAAGTTCAACATACATCATATTGTAGGACATCACACACAAAGGATAGCTCTGTATGATAACCTGATCTTTAATCCAATCATACTTCTTTGAGCCTCCACCTTTACAGTTTGTGAATGTAGGTAAGTTGCACTGGGAATGGATGCCCATATGTCAATTTCTAGAAGCATTAGACACATCACATCCATGATCACTGTGGAGTGATTGGGGTGAAGCTCACGTTAATCCGAGAGAAAGGAGTCTGCTCATTGGAAGAGACATTGTTAATTATCGCGTAGAAGCCAGGAGCGTAAGCAGGTGTTTCACACTAGATGAGCGCAGAATAGGGCGCATCGCCACATAAATCATGGACATTTTTCATTAAAATATTTGAACAGAAAAAAAGGATTACTGTACTGAACCAAAGCTGTGCATCACTTGTGCATTCAAGCATTCAATTACACACTGCACAATATTTTAAATGACTGCATATCTCATCAAAAAGAGGTTCAGTTCGGAATGAACCAATGCGTTCTCTGGGCAGACATTGTTTTTTTTTTTATACATTTGCTTGGTGGCATATCTAGTAAGGTGTGTTCTGCTGCTCTTGTTAATAACTTAAGTTTATCCATTGTCGCCTTCACAAAAACATGACATTTGTTGTGTATGCCACCATTTACCATGACAGCACATGATATATAATGAACCACAGACCACCCAGTGCCTTGTGACGTTTCTCTTTCCATCAGGACGTGCCGACTGCCCGTATTACGCTAAAGCAGAGCTCCTCACCGACTACTTGCAACTCAATTTGCCCAGCTTCAGAGTCCACAAGATTCCCGTGCTCCCAGAGGAGTGGGAGGTATTTTCGTTGGTCTTAGTTGTCTGGGATTTTTTAATGATACTGATACCCGTCCCCAGGTAATGCGTGGAGTCGTGCTCTAGTGATTGATGGTAAACCCACAGCCCTATCCAACTTGTGAATCGGGAACTCTTTCACACCACCACGGCATTGTCAGCCTTTGACCATTGTACATTACTGTCGCACACACAAATGAATGACCCAGTCTTGTCAATAAATCAGTTCCTTTCTATAAGCCATAGAACAATCCTTTGAGCCCTGTAAGGTCAATCTGCTACTTATAAAGGACAATGCTCAATTTACTGTCATGCAATTGCATTACTCAGCAATGCTACAGCAAAATGATAAATAATTGTGACATTGCAGTGTCCTTCAGAGTTCTTTTTTTTATTCCTACATCGACAAGACTGCACTCTGAATCAGGCATATTTAGTAGGTGGTAAACTTGGTGCACATCTGCAAAGCCAGACATGTCAGATTATGTCGTTATGGAGAAAGCGTTCATGTGTTGGGCAGGCCTGGTTGAGCGCCACATGTCGGCAGCATGGCTGGCGCCACACTACATCCCCGCTGGTGTGGCGAGAACTGGTGGAGCGGGGCGGCCGGGGGGCCCTGCTGGGTGGATACAACGACTTCATGGAGTATGTGCAGGTCAGTGGCAGAGCGTGGTTTGATTGGGCCCTGGTGCAAGGCACGAAATGGGACCGCATGGCTAATTTCCCCCTCTGCGTAGCCCGGCGCCTGGGGCCCCTACGGCCCATGGGCCCCGATGCAGTTGTACCGCCTGCGCGCTCGATAGCTGCACCACTTATAAACAGGTCGTGAGGAGCCGCCACTAGGAGCACTTTACTGTTTACAAAAGTTATGCGCTTTGTGTAACAATATTTTGGGGGAAAAAAAAAGCTTGAACAGTGTTCCGTGAAAAGGCAGAATGGTCCATTGTTAGAATTGTATTCAGTTTAATTTAGTGCTATAAGACGATTACACAACAAGCTTTATTTTGCAGATTACTATTCAGAACATAAAAGAATACAAATCCATGGATACACATACAAAAACAAACGTTGCGGTTATGAGGTGTATGATTACTTATGTGTTCAAGGAATGCAATTTTGCATTACCTTTACGTCAATTAACCTGATTGGCTATGTGACTGTGATATAACAAAATGGTGTGTACGTGAATTCCAGTGATAAACTTAAGAAAGGATTTTGAGAGTTCTGGAAGACTTCGACATCTTTAAACATGTATTATGATAGTGAATACAATCTGAATGTTCGATAATGCAAACATATGCATCATATGTTTGCCAGAATGATAGACTGCTTCAGAACATTGACATATTTTCAAGGTTAGACAACACTGCAGAGCACAAGCCATACAAAGCAGTTATTGGCAAAGTGAACGTACAGATTTATAGGACCAATAAAAGCCCAAGGTGTTACCAGTATCTCTCGTGTAGTGTGAGTGTAATATGTCAATCCTGCGTGGCACGTGTTGTATTTCAGGGCTACTACGGCATGGTGTCACCCATGCTTTCAGAGCTGATGCTCACCCTCGCGCAAGAGAATCTGCACACGCAGGTGAAGCTTACAGATGAGCAGGCACAGCACAGAGAGCTCAACAGGCCCTTCCACGTCTGCATCACTGGGTAACCGCACCACACGAAGGCAACGATCTTCTATTTAGCTTGAATAAACTGTTAGAGCAAGTACAACACGTGAGCGGGCACCTGATAAGGCTGGTGCAGCGCACGAGGAGGTGATGTGGCTAAAACCATGCACTATATTCAGCAGCCTTTATATCTGCAATACTGATATTGACAGCTCATACCAGGAACTGGGTACTCATTTCAGGTTGAGTCGACTCATGTTCCAGCTCATGCTCAGATGCCATTTACCGCAGTTGATGTGCATAACTTGTTAATTTAAACATTTGCGCGATAACTTGTAGACTTACAGAATATATCATTTGTAACACAAATATTTGTTTCAAATGTTGACGAAGAAAAAAGTGATATATTAAAGCATTTATCATTCACAATAAAATCAGCAAAGAGCAAACATCCATAGCAGCCCCGCCTTTTTAGCACTGCCGTATGTGACAGAAGAACTGTGCACCTTACCTGCCAATTCGTTCCACAGGACAGTCTGCTTACGTTTGTCTCTTCCATGCAGGGCAAACAGCGCGTGCGTGCCTGGGCTGCTGTGGCTGCTGGGTACCGGCGAGTTGTGCGGGGGGTCAACAGGTCTGTCCGTGTGCCTGCTGGGCAAAGTTGGCGAGCAGGAGGCCCTGCGGTGCGTCCGGCAGGACACCCTTGACATGGCCTGTGCCACGCTGCGTGATGTCACCATCCACTCCGACCCCGAGATAGCTTTCGACGGCGCTGGGCTGGTGATTGTCCTCGACAACGTTGCCCCCGGTTCAGGGCAGGAGTGGTCGGATGCTGGCGCGCTTCTTTGTGCCGCTTACGGCTCCGCGCTGGGTCGGCGCGCCGGGCCTGACGTGCGGGTGCTCGTGGTGGCAGCGAAGGCAGCCAACCTAAGGGCCCAGCTGCTGGCTACAGCTGCCGCTCCGCATGTTCCCAGGCGCAACTTCGTGGCCCTGTCCACTCACCTGGAAAGGCGGGCCAAGGGCCTGCTGGCAGCGAAGCTCAAAGTTAACTCTGCAGGTCAACGAGTGTGAAAAAGCACAAACACCACACACACGCGGAGACGTGCATTGTTCAGAGTTGCTGTGTGAGATAGCTGGTGCTCAATGGGGTAGCGAGGTTCGCATGGGACCAGTGCAAGGAATTAAATACAATGCCTTGTATTGTACAATTTCCCCCCTGTTCGTAGATTGGCCCCACGGTCCCTGGTACAGTTGCACCGACTGCACACGCGATGCCACTGCTCGTGCTGCATGTGCACGCGAGTCTCACGTAAGGTGTTGGGTTGAGTAGGTGTGGAGGATGTGGTGGTGTGGGGTGACGCTGGAGGGAGCACGTACACGCAGCTTTCTGCGGCTCGACTCCGGGGCTACGATGGCGCTGCGTGGGGTCCTGGACTCACGTACCCACTCCTGGAGGTTCTGAACGACCGGTACTGTGTCACACCCCATGCTGCGGATCTGCACAAAGCTGCTCTGCCATCGCACACACCCGACACTCGCACTCCCCATTCTCTACACCCTGTGAGTCCTCTTTCTCTGTTACTGTGGGAACACGAGGCCACTATTTTACGTTTTGTGGCGCAAAACTTAGTTTCAGAAAGCTAAAGTCGTAAGTCTCCTTGCTCTGCCTATAACAATCACCTGAAACTTGTTTTCCTGAAACGTACGTTTTCAGATATTAGGTGGTTCCGTGGTTCCCTTGGTACAAGTGCTTTTCGAGATGTTAACCAGTATATTTGACAAATTATATATTTACTCAAGAAAATATCGTTTCTCTCTTTATGATAATCCTGTTTAATACCTTTTGTCATTTTTTTAAATATATTTTTTTTTTTGCACGTGACTCCTCAAGTAAATTCACAGCAGACCTCATAAATACCATCGCGCTGCTCAGTTACTCACTGTGTCTCAATCTACGCTTGGAGTGCCTGTGTCCTGGCCTGACTTTCTCTATGTCGCTGATTCAGATTGGTCCTCTGTAGGTACCAATCATCTCTGCAAACAACAAACTAACACCATTGGAACCTCATTTGCCAGAAGAAAAAATATGATAATTGGTTTTTTACCCTTTTATCTGGCAACAAAACTGACACCTTTTTTACAAGGAGTCATGTTTGCATAGACCACAATACCTGCAGTCATAATGCGCCTTTTGCCGTCATCTGGTCCAACACCATGTGAGACTAGGCTCTAAGGAAAGCTGTCTCGGGTGTGGACCAATCAACTTCAAGGACAATGCATACATTATCAGAGTTATGTTTTTTGTTTGCATTATGGCTGCAGGTATTGTGGTCTATGCAAACATGACTCCTTGTAAAAAAGGTGTCAGTTTTGTTGACAGATAAAAGGGTAAAAAACTATTATTAACGAACTAACTTTCAAATGTACTGGAGAAACTAACCAGCAGAGGGGACGTTTATATCATGCACATGCATAATTGGGCGATGCTTACAATATATGTTTATGACTGCAAATACAGTATATCTTATTTATATAGACATATATTTACATAGACATTTGTATGAGATGGGCATGAAATTGTTATTGCTTCAGCATTCACTAACCAATCAGGTGAAAAATAACAATACTATAAGGAGAAACAGAACTTGATATTGTTATGAGCTGGCCTTCCTAAATTATAATTCCCCAAAAGAATGTTACGTTTTTAAAAAATTTTAATTGTGTATGCTCACTACATCCAAAATGAAAATCTAAAAACCCGTCAAATAAAAATCCTAAGAAGGCAAGTAGGCTTCATTGGATCACTGCAGATTACAGCCAGCATTAGTGCGCTGTGAATGACATTTTGTGAAATGTAAGGGACTGTGGTCAGGCGTTTTAGAGCAACCACGCAACAAAAGGAAACCAGATGACCGTATAAACTCATAGCCGGGTTTAAAATATTGACATAGGTATAAAAAAAGGTGGATGTTAATTTCTCATTTCAACCATAATCGCAGGGTGAGTAGTTTTCTTACACAGCCTATGTTTAGTGTTTTGATTTAGAATTAAGGTTAGTACTTCTGTAAATGCATGTGCTAAGGCCATGCTTATAATTTTAGTTCAAAGGAGTGGAGTAGTATGGTTGGCATGTGCCCTGGTGCAAGTCCTGAAATGTATCCTCCTGTCCAATTTCTCTATTCTCGGTAATCCAGCTGTGGTTCCCTCCATCCCATGGGCTCCAGGACAGTTCCACCACCTCTACACACAGAAGCTACTCTACTGGTTTAAACATAAAGCTTGTGTTTGAATTTCACCATTTGCCTTGCAGCGAATGGCTGGAGAATGAGTTCCCGGCCATCCTGCAAGCACGCGGCTCCCTCCAGGCAAAGGCCCAGGGCTATCCAGCTACCACAGCCCTGAACGCCGCCATTGCCTCCACCCTGCGCCTTTGGTTCCATGGCTCAGACGATCAACAGATTCACTCGCTCGCCGTCCCTTCCAATGGTAAGTCAGGCTCTGTCCACCCTAGGCTTGCCACCTGTCCTAGCCATCTGGGGGGAATATGTAAGCCTTTCCAGCACATTACAAGTCCAATTTGTGTAATAATACGCTCCTCAAGGCAGTGCATTTCCATGTACAGTAGTTCATCAGCACACTAACACGTTAGAAAGAGGGGGGGACATTCGGTCTATCTTCCTGATTGGGGCAGGATACCACAAACAAGCTGAAAGGCAGCCAAAAACGAGCACCAACAATTGCGCAAGGTCTGTGGTGTGCCAGTCGGGGGGGCGGGGGGATATTAGATATGAATAATCCCAGGGGTAGCAGCGCTTGTACATCCAGGAGGACGGTAGAGGCACAAGCTGGCTCCGTGTTAATCCTGGGCTCGAACGTTATGGATGATTAAACTGAGGTCCTCTATATACTGTGAATATACAAAACCTCATAGCACACTTCAGTAAGAGCAGGAACAATAGCAGCAGCATCGCGGATTTGAATCCTAGCACAACTCAAGAAGCAGAGGTGTTGATTCAACTGCTTGTGCATCAAAACAGTTCAATTTATGCAACCGTGAGAAGCTCAAAGCACAAAGAGGTGCACCACTCCAGGGGATCAATGGATGACATTCAAAAGGCTTGCAAAGGTAAACATAGTGGAAAACAAGATAATGTGGAAACATGCAAAGGTAATGATTATCGAAGTGCATGTTTATCTTGAGGTGTTTGTCCAGGAATATAAAGAGAGTATCCCTACACAGACAGGGAGAAGTTGGTGAGTGTACTGAGGGCCCTCCGACCAACTCCAAAACACCACCGCTTCAAACTAGAGGGAGTTGAGCGTAGCCACATGGACTGACATGACCCTGGTTTTGATACCTTACATCACCCTGTCATAAACACAGCAAATAATGTTGTGCATGAGCATTTGATCTGAAACACACCGTGCAAAATATATTAAGCAACACTATCGCTGACAAATCCAGGTGCAGATGGACACCTGCACTCCTGCTGTGATAGATCACCTCCAGTACAACATGACCAACATCATCAGCATCACTCTTACAACCTTGCAGAATAAAACCCACCACAATCTCTACCACAAACACTTTTCCACAGCACCTTCCATCAGGACATCAAGTTTATACTGGTAGGAACCTCCTGGTTAGACCAGCCCACAGGGGATTATTGTGTCCGTCCGTCCGTCGCGCATCCAAAAATGGGAGGGGTGGGGCTGGGTGGAGAGGGGAAGGTGGGGAGGGGCTGGGTGGGGAGGGTGGGGAGGGGCTGGGGGTGGAGGGTGGGGCTGGGTGGGGGGTGGGAGGGGTGGGGAGGGGCTGGTCACCCCGTGGTGCCCTTATAAAACTCAACGTTTAACCTACTCACGCCGGCTTGTGCCCGCCCTCACAGTCGGGCATATTTGCGGAATACACCACGCCGCCGTTGGCCCTGGCCATTGACCGAGCAACCTAACGTTCCTACCAGCTCCCTCCGCAGGAATGTGTTAACCAAAAGAGTGCAGTCTCAGCTTGGATCGTGCACAGTCCAGGTTGAACAGCACTACTATACAGCAGAGCCTGTTCAGGCAACTCACACAGAGGCACATTATTTATATACTAGCTTCTTTGCCCATCCTTAGATGGACGCTGTAATATTTACTAAACATTGAGCAGAGTATAATTGTATCTTGTGTAAATTTAATGGCAGTGAATCTTGCACGAAAGTATGTTGTAAAACACTTTACTGCATTTCACTGTAGCACTGTATTAATGGCAGTGAATCTGTCACGAAATGAAGTCATAAAACACTTCACTGCAGTTCACTGTAGCACTGTATTAATGACGGTGATTCTTGCACGAAACTACGTCATAAAACACCTCACTTCATTGCTCTGATACTTGATTCCCTTCTGCTTTCGATCGCTGGGGTTGAAATAAATGGGAAATCGATACAATATCTGGAAAATCACTGATAAATGTCTATTTTACCATAATGTACAAGCATACATTTGTTGCTGCATAGAATTATTTATTAGATTCACTTTCAATAAAGAAACATCAAACTTAAAGCGAATTTGCGATTTTTTTTTTTATTTCCGCTCGACCTTCTGCGTGAGTATAAAAATCCACCCGCTCATGAATATTAATGACGAGGGGGTGCGGCATGTGGAGTGACGTCACGCGCGGCACACCCAAACAGACATTCTTGGCTCATTATAATAGTAATAAACACCCATCTATAACAATCACACGTTATTATAATTACATGACTTATGTGGTTGCTGTACTGTGTGCTGTGTGACCCGACCTAGGAGAATATGGCTTGCTGCAAGGTCTGGTATTCTCGCTTCCTGTGAGGTTCGAGGGGGGTGACTGGTCAGTGGTGAGTAACCTCTCCTTGACGGACGCGGAGCGGAGTCGGATCCACACCATTGCTGCTGAGCTGCAGGAGGTCAGAGTTCATACCCAGAGTCTATCCAAGCAGCTCGCACAGAGGAAAATAATACATGTGATTGTTTACATCTGTGGGCAGGGTGATGTTTTATCATAGTGGACTGTTCCTATAGAATGTTCTACAATAAACAAAATATACGTTCTTGATGCTGTCATTCTCAAGTTGTAATCCATGATCAAAAAACTTCCCTTACAGGAAATTGAAGCTATATTTACAAATACCAACCAAGCATCTCTTCTATCGCAGGATCCGTCTAGGCTGCAAGTAAGTGGCACTGTTGTACTCAATCCCGGATAAGTGGTGGGCTGAGTCAACCTGGGAGTTGAATTCAGAACCATTCTTCTGACAGATGGGTGCTGTGACAGTGCCACATTGGCCGGTTGATGTCATGCACAAACTATCAGCCCTGAAGCAGTGGTGGAATGTATGCAAGCGTGCATGCACAAATACACGCACAAACCTTGTACGCCTGTGCAGCATATTAATATGTGCTTACATCATGCTGGCTCGTGAAACGTACACAAGTTGTAGTGGGGAAATCCAACGAGGAAGCAAAACAATGAATTCAAGTTCGTGAATAAAATTAGCATTGTGATGATGTTCTAGCTTCTTGGGGTGCACTCCTAACATCAACTTACTTTAGAAAATCTACTTCATTAATAAGTATTGAGTTTCACATGGGCTTTAAAAAATTTGTGGATGTGGATTGTTAAGCGTTAAAGCCATTAACACAGATTTTGAAGAAGTCTGAGTAAAACTAATTATTCTGACAGTAGACCTTTGTTTTTGTTGTTGCTATTGTTGTGTTTTTGTGTGATTCAGGTGTCAGAGAAGGCCGACTCCCATGAAGGTCAATTTGGGTTCCCATCTGAGACATGTGGACCCCTGTTAGAGGTCATGACCCCATAACCTTGTTCTGCAGCATGCCAAAATGTAATCACTTTACACCGGAATTCTGCAAGTGTTTAAAACCCGCATTGAATGTTCTGGCAGGTGATGCAGCTGTGTGAAATTTTTCGTTTTCTCGTGTGTTAAGGGACCGTACGTCTTCCTTATGATGCCAGCTACGCATCTTGAATTCGCCTGCTAATTATGTTTGTTGTCACTTTATTACTGTTGCATTGCTGCTGCTATAATTCTGTTGGAACACTTCATTTTTGTTGATTCTAACTTTTTATGTGTGTGGTAATAAAACTATTGACTAAAATTATGTTGATCTTAAGTGGCATTAATGTTATGTTTTATGTACTAGGATGCTGCATTATGACCCTAACAACACACTACCATAAACTCACAGCAATACACTCATACAGTGAGGGAAAAAAAGTATTTTATCCCCTGCTGATTTTGTACGTTTGCCCACTGACAAAGAAATGACCAGTCTATAATTTTAATGGTAGGTTTATTTGAACAGTGAGAGACAGAATAACAAAAAAATCCAGAAAAGCGCATGTCAAAAATGCTATAAATTGATTTGCATTTTAATGAGGGAAATAAGTATTTGACCCCCTCTCAATCAGAAAGATTTCTGGCTCCCAGGTGTCTTTTATACAGGAAACGAGCTGAGATTAGGAGCACACTCTTAAAGGGAGTGCTCCTAATCTCAGCTTGTTACCTGTATAAAAGACACCTGTTCACAGAAGCAATCAATCAGATTCCAAACTCTCCACCATGGCCAAGACCAAAGAGCTCTCCAAGGATGTCAGGGACAAGATTGTAGACCTACACAAGGCTGGAATGGGCTACAAGACCATCGCCAAGCAGCTTGGTGAGAAGGTGACAACAGTTGGTGCGATTATTCGCAAATGGAAGAAACACAAAAGAACTGTCAATCTCCCTCGGCCTGGGGCTCCATGCAAGATCTCACCTCGTGGAGTTGTAATGATCATGAGAACGGCGAGGAATCAGCCCAGAACTACACGGGAGGATCTTGTCAATGATCTCAAGGCAGCTGGGACTATAGTCACCAAGAAAACAGTTGGTAACACTACGCCGTGAAGGACTGAAATCCTGCAGCGCCCACAAGGTCCCCCTGCTCAAGAAAGCACATATACATGCCCGTCTGAAGTTTGCCAATGAACATCTGAATGATTCAGAGGACAACTGGGTGAAAGTGTTGTGGTCAGATGAGACCAAAATGGAGCTCTTTGGCATCAACTCAACTCGCCGTGTTTGGAGGAGGAGGAATGCTGCCTATGATCCCAAGAACACCATCCCCACTGTCAAACATGGAGGTGGAAACATTATGCTTTGGGGCTGTTTTTCTGCTAAAGGGACAGGATAACTTCACCGCATCAAAGGGACGATGGACGGGGCCATGTACCGTCAAATCTTGGGTGAGAACCTCCTTCCCTCAGCCAGGGCATTGAAAATGGGTCATGGATGGGTATTCCAGCATGACAATGACCCAAAACACACGGCCAAGGCAACAAAGGAGTGGCTCAAGAAGAAACACATTAAGGTCCTGGAGTGGCCTAGCCAGTCTCCAGACCTTAATCCCATGGAAAATCTGTGAAGGGAGCTGAAGGTTCGAGTTGCCAAACGTCAGCCTCGAAACCTTAATGACTTGGAGAAGATCTGTAAAGAGGAGTGGGACAAAATCCCTCCTGAGATGTGTGCAAACCTGGTGGCCAACTACAAGAAACGTCTGACCTCTGTGATTGCCAACAAGGGTTTTGCCACCAAGTACTAAGTCATGTTTTTCAGAGGGGTCAAATACTTATTTCCCTAATTAAAATGCAAATCAATTTATAACATTTTTGACATGCGTTTTTCTGGATGTTTTTGTTGTTATTCTGTCTTTCACTGATCAAATAAACCTACCATTACAATGATAGACGGATCATTTATTTGTCAGTGGGCAAACGCACAAAATCAGCAGGGGATCAAATACTTTTTTCCCTCACTGTACATAAATACTGGAAGAATTACAACACGACTAATACATGCAGTTATGCATTGGGCCCATTTGATTGTAAAAATGTGTCCAAGTCTGCTTGCTTCGCTAGAAAATAGAAATAATGAAACGATGCTGACAATATACATTTAATAAAAATTAATTCATAGTGAAACATGGTTCTAATGCTGGTGGTGAAAAGAGCCACTGTCTCAGCATTATTATTTTCACATAGTTGTCTATCAATGAGGGTCCTACCAACTCCAAATAAATTATCAAGAGAGCCTTGCTTTGGGATGTTTGGCAAATTCCTTTTTGAGATTTAGTTTCGTACTGGAAGAAAGCAGGGTGCTAGGACAAAACCCATGAATACGATGGAATAAATATTACATACTTGCACTACTGCGTCCTATATGTATATTTGATTTATTTTGCACCTTATACGTAGCCAACCGTGCAAATCAGAGGTGCGGACCTAATTACATTGCTTATCTCTGCATGACTCACCAATCCTTCCAACAATCTGTTAGATTAACAGGAATACATTGGCCACCACCCAAATTTGAATATTCAATGTGAAGTGAGTCCAACTGAGTTGCAGACGTTGTCTTGGGAGCAACGCTATATTTTTTAAAAGTCAATTGTCTGTGGCTTTGTGTGTGTTCGCGCGCTTGCGAAGGATCTGGCTCTCCAACGGTGGGGTTAATGTTAAAATTAAATTCACCAAGTTCCGTAAGCCCCGCCGTGAGCAAGCGCTATAACTTTTTCACATCCGTCAACTTTAAATTACTTTAATTAGCGATTTAATGCGATTTTTGTGTGCTATCTCTTTATTTATTTATTTATGACGCATGCACGACCATACCAACTCACGCGCCTTTGGTGGGGGGACGGCCCATGCCAAGTCGCACGCCTTCGGTGGGAGGGGGACATTTTCTTTCGCGTAAAAAATGGTATAAAAATACACTAAACTGTCCCCCCCACCCCGATACGTGCAGTTACTACTATTTACAGTCGCTAGATGCTACCACTATAGGCTGTAGATATTACTGCAGAGCGGCCGAGTAGATCGTGGCTGGGGGGGGGGTGGGGGGTCAGGGGTAGCAGCCCAGCCCCAGCATGCCAAGGTGCCACCTCGGCCAGCTGGACAATCTAGGCGAGGCCGGAGGCTCTGCACGGGATTCGGTCTCACCACGCCACTCTGTCAGGTGAGTACTTTGTGCAATAGAGTCGATAAATAGTGCTATAGAGTCAGCATGTACTACTGTAGTGATAGCAGGTATCACCACAGTTGGTATGCACTGCTGTAATCATAACAGGTACCACCACAGTCAGTACGCACTGCTGTTAGATTTTTAAGAGTAGTTTTGAAAAAAATGATTGGCCCGGGCAATGCCGGGTATATAAGCTAGTTTATTCAATAAATCAACATAACATAACACAACCTACACTTGGGTATTGAATGCTCATTTAGCCACGCTACTGCAGAACTAGACACGGTTCGCTATCCCGGCCCAGACCACAAGCTGGGTCCCGGACCGCGTGGCTAGAGGCTTCTTCTACCCGACGTGGATCTTCATCACCAGCAACACGAAGAACCCCGAGCCCCTCACGGGGCCCCTGTTATATCGGCCTGGGCTGGGGCTAGCTCCGCCCCTCGCCCCGCCCACCTTCTAGAACTCTCGAGCTCTTTCCCGAATGCTCCCCGAGAGCTCTTCTATACCACGTGACCGCCCAGCGTCCCCCGTCCACCGGTGGCCCCCCTCCAATATCATCCGGTCACGTGACAGCAGGTCAACCAGCGTATCATGCCCCAACGTAACTCTGGCTGGCTGACACTCCTTCTCGCTCCCTCACCGGGAGCCCGCACCGCACACTGTATGTGGTGCCTCCGCGCTGACCAGCGCTCACCCAAGCCCCACTAGGGTTGGTACTACACCCCGTAACCCGGGCTGCCCATAATGACAACACATTACCGGCGGTGGCTTCGCAAGCCCCGGCACCATACAGTGACAAGCACAGTCACTACACATATAATCCAGCACTTTGAAGACTAGGGATGGTCAATCGCATACATTTGTGAAGGTGACGGTAGTCCAGGTAATGGCTTGTGAACCCGTCAGTGCGGCTGTTTGGGTTTTTCCTGGGCAAACCGGTTTGCTCCCACACACAACGCTATTCATTAAGGAAATCGGCCAAAATATCTGATGGAATCGGTCAAACATCTCATCTTCCTGACAATTCTTGAGAGTCAGTGATACATAACATTACTGCTAGAGCCCAGGGAACAAAGAATATATCTGCAAGCTGCCGCGTTGCGCTTTAAACTGTTACCGATTTGTATTGTTGTTCTTCGTGCCAACAACAAGCCGATCTTGCACGTTTTAAGAAATTTGCGACAGCACCGAGTTTTACCTCGCGCTTCCCTTGAGACCGGGCAGCACAGCAGAGTGACTTCCACGAGGACCCGGAGTGCTTGGAGCGCCCCCACGTTGCACCTCTCCGCTGCCACCGGCTGCTCATGCTGGCAAAGATTCCCATAGCCTGTGGGAGTGCCATGGCTCAGTGAGGCTTCTCTGAGTCGATAAATACATCTGTTACATTTTATTAGTGATACTGTATTATTCGGATTATAAGATGCACTCTCCCCCTTCGCCTCCCATGTTCTAAAGGAGCATTTAAGGGGTGCGTCTTACAGTCCGGTGTGCGTGCTAACTTATTTGTATAATTGCATTGACAATGGGCTCACGTTTCAGGTGCTTCTCGCTTTTCAAAGGGTCTTATTATCTGTAAAATACGGTACTTTTTAAAATAATTTATTTTTCTAATGATTGCTATGATTGCATTTCAGAATCAAAAACTTTTTTTCAGCTTCGTTCGTGCATCTTCTTGGTTCTTTCGGTAAAGTCACGTAGAAGGGAAGTAATAAAATACTTCCCTTCTACGTGACTTTACCGAAAGTCACGTAGAAGGGAAGTAATAAAATACTTCCCTTCTACGTGACTTTACCGAAAGAACCAAGAAGATGAATCCCTGCAGTCACGAAAGCTTTACATCGAAATTCGTTCGTGCAGTTATGCTCGCTCTGAGCATACAATTAGCATGTATCGTGAGTGTTTGATTAACTTAACAGAATGTAAAAAAGGGTACCGCGCACATTATTGAATAATTATAATTGGACGGAAGTTTGCACCGCATGCTGGAATGTCGAGATAATTGCGTGAGACCGAGTACACGCCTAAACACCCTGCTGTACTCTAAGAGTTAACTTTAAGCAGCGTGTGCATTTCATCGCCGCGTCGATGCAG